GGTGGATAACCTGTTCTCCCTTGCCCTGCATCCACTCAATGCACATCAAAGAGCAGCCTGTATGTGCAGGGTGAGCTTAAGAAGCCCTCCCAAGGACTGGACTTCAGGACAGACCTGTCCCTGAGACCCACTCTCCCTTTTAAATGTTATTCATGACGCAAGGAATGTTTTTTTCAAGAGGGGGCGCTATGGAGTCTTGCAGTGGGGTTGAAATCGTACAATGCAGGAGACCTGGGTTCAATCCCTGGGTCGGGAAGATCCCCTGGAGAAGGGAATGGCAGCCCACTCCAGTATTCTTGCCTGGAGAATCCCATGGACAGAGGAGCCTGGCGGGCTACAGTCCATGGGGTCAAGAAGAATTGGACTCAACTAAGCAAAGCAACTAAGCACACACACCTAAAAAAAAAAAAAAAAAAAGGGGGGGGCCAGTTGTGCANCCCAGCAGGTAAAGAATCTGCCTGCGATGCAGGAGACCCTGGTTCGATTCCTGGGTCAAGAAGATCCCCTGGAGAAGGGATAGGCTATGCACTCTAGTATTCTTGGGCTTGCTTGGTGGCTCAGCTGATGAAGAATCCGCCTGCAATGTGGGAGACCTACGTTTGATCCCCGTGTTGGGAAGATCCCCTGAAGGAGGGCATGGCAACCCACTCTAGTATTCTTGCCAGGAAAATTCCATGGACAGAGCAGTCTGGTAGGCTACAGTCCATGGGGTCGCAAAGAGTCGGACACTGCTGAGCAACTAAGCATAGTGAGCATAGCCAAAGAGTTGGGGAAGGGGAGTCGGTGGATGGAAAATTACTGAGAGGAAACAATAGGGAATGGAGGGGGGATATTCTGGCTAAAGAGACTGAACCTTATTCTTGCTGATGACAGGCCAGGTAGGTTGAGAGATCATGAGAGATGGGGAGGGGCGGGGGAGGATGAAGAACCCAATCAGATATCAAGAGGGATCAATATGAAGATATGGTGTTCTGGCTAAATTGACGTATTAGCCAGATTCTTGCTCCAGCTGGACAGTGTCAAGATGAACACGGAAGCCTGCAATTTGAGACCAAGGTGAAAAAGAGCTCAGAGGAGCCCAACTGGGGTTTGGTCAGGGAGAGAATCTTGTCCCCCTGAGGGAAGGATGGAGGAAAGGTCAGGAGACCAGAGAGCTCTGTGCAGGGAGGCTGGGAAGGGGCTTCCTGGAGGAGGCAAATCTTTTGGTTTGAGCCAGCTCAACTCAAGTGGTTTAAACAGCAGGTTGATCTATCAGGTTAGGTAAGTGCCAGGTCCTGGAGGCTGGCTGCACTGGCAAGCCTCAGAGCCCTGCCTTCCTGGGTGGTAAGGGTCTCTCCACCCCATGCTGGTGGCAGAGGCTGGTTTATATCCCCACTCAGCAAACCAGTAGGAAAACTTTTCTACCAGCCCTCGCCAAAGTCCTGGAGACTTAAGGGGGTACCATCTTGCACTAGGCACCGGGTTTAGTTCACACGCATGTAATAACTGGTAGAGCTGGGTTTAGGGTTACTGCTGCAGTATTTTTGTTTCATTTTCCCTTCTGTGCCCTCTTTTCTTCCCCCCTCCTCTTCACACACCCTCTCTCTCTTTTCTCCTTCCTAATCAAATTTCTTAAAAAAATTTTTTTTAATTCATTTATTTGGATAATTGGGTTTTAGTTACATCATGGGGGCTGTAAAGGAAACTGACATCAGTACAGCCTACCCTTCTCGCTCATATTTCACCACATTTATGTGTATTCAGTGGCCGTTGAGTCAGCAGTTCCTGCACATGTGAAAGTGAAAGTCTGTCAGTCATGTCCGACTCTTTGCAACCCCATGGAGTATACAGCCCATGGAATTCTCCAGGCCAGAATACTGGAGTGGGTAGCCTTTCCCTTCTCCAGGGGATCTTCCCAACCCAGGGATAGAACCCAGGTCTCCTGCATTGCAGACGGATTCTTTACCAGCTAAGCCACAAGGGAAGTCCAAGAACACTGGAGTGTGTAGCCTACTTCTTCTCCGGAGGATTTTCCGGACCCAGGAATCAAACCAGGGTCTCCCGCATTGCAGGCAGATTCTTTACTGAGCTATGAGGGAAACCCCTTTCAGCACTTGTAGCTTTTTGTAATCATGACTGCAGTCAAGCTACTGGACAGCCCATCGCCTCAAGGATCCCCCTAGCTGCCGTTTTATAGCCACACCCACCTTGCTTTCCCCCAAGCCATTCGTCTGTCCTCCCACCCTATAATTTTGTCACTTCAGGGCTGCTTTGTAAACAGAATCATGGGGTACGTAACCTTTCGAGATTGGCTTTTTCTCACCCAGTAAGAGTGAGTGAGAAAAGTGAGCTACTGACACAACCCTGTCTGTGGTTGGTGTTGGATCAGCAGTTCCTTCCTTTTCATGGCTGATTGAGTTCCACAAATACGTTCTCGATTTGAACGGTGGTCCCATGCAAGCTACGCTCATTCTTACCAAAAGTGAGCACCCCGTCCTGCCACTGTGCAGGGCCTGGCTGGACCATGAACCCCACCTGTATTCCAGGGGGGTGCTCCTGTCTCAGTGGGTGGAAGCAGCCGTCCTGAGTGCACTTGGAGGCCAGTGCACAGGAAGGGTCTGCAGCCCCTGCCCCAAGGCCTGGCAGCCCACCGGCGTCTTTCCTTCTCTCCTATCAGCCAGAGTGGGTTCTCCTCCTAAAACTCCAAGCTGGAAGACGTGATCAGGCTGTGATTTCTACCTGCCAGAAGAAGGCCAGGGGACTCGACCGTCTAGGGGTTGGTAGACCCCACCCTAGGTGACCCCTGCTTCCAATTGAACCTGATAAGTGGACTGGCAGAGACCTGCCCCGATGGATGGTGGGCCTCCCGGGGGCCCAGCTCCCACCTCAACAGGGAGGATGGTCAGTGGGTGGCTGGAGGCCCCTTCCCCCTGCTCACCAGCTGCAGCTGGAGCCCCAGGCGCCCCGCCCCGCGGCCCACAGGCTGGGTAGCTGGAGGAGCTCCCACAGCCTGACGCGCTGCTCCCCAGAGAAGCGATGTCTCTGGGAAGGACTCGTGGCCAAAGGCCTGTTTCTGAGGGGACACGACTCTGGCCAAGTCTCGGACACAACGTCAGCAACTTGGAAACAAAACAGGCCCCTCTTCTCCAAAATGCAGAAGTCCCAGCCTCCCTTTGGGCCACCCAGGCTGCTGAGCCCAGGACCCAAACCCCAAATTGCCCCAGATCTGTCATGGTCCCTGCAGCCCCATCTAGCCTCAGGGGCCCCCTGAATGTTTGGTCTGGTGGCACCAGGCTCTGTGGGGAAGTTCTGGGCTCTAAGAAGATGCACTTTCATCTTCCTGCTTCTGGACCTCAACGCCCCTTGAACCCCTGCTCTCCCGGGGCCCAACCTGGAGGACTGTCACCCCCACTAGCAACCTGGGAGCGTGTCCCAGCTCCGGACCAACCGAAGCCGTGTGCGCAGACCTGCCTCCGAGCTGCCCCTCCCCTGTGTTGGCCTGTCTTCTCCCTCCACGGTGGTATTTATTTCAGCCCACACAGCTCATCTCGGGACAGCACAGAGACCCTGAGGGGGCGGCCCAGCCTGTGGGGCCCCGTCATGCAGCGCTGATCCCTGACCTCCACCAGCCTACAAGGTTACAGTTCCCTTGGCCAAGGCCCTGCGGCCCACTTGCCATGGAGGCCGCTGGTGTAATAAAAGCTCATTTCCTTCAAGTCCCTGGCAGGCTTGACCCTCCTGTGGGCTGGGGAGGCTGAGGGGCAGCTCCAAGGGCTGAAGTTGGCTCTCATCTGGCCCTTTGCTTCCATTCCTTCATCCACAGCCCAGTCTTTCCAAGGAGGATGGGGATGAGGCTTTGGAACACCTGAACCCCAAGATAATCATAAATTCAGTGCATTTGTAAAGAATCATTCCAATATGGGGGCTTAGAACTTGCCTGTCAATACAGGAGACGTAGGTTCTATCCTTGGGTCAGGAAGATCCCCTGGAGAAGGAAATGGCAACCCACTCCAGTGTTCTTGCCTGGGAAATCCCATGGACAGAGAATCCTGGTGGGCTACAGTCCACGGGGTGGCAAAGAGCGGGACACGACTGGGTGACTAAACAACAACGACAGCAACAGAGAGAGGTCTCAGGTACCCAACTTCCCCCAGTGGTAGCATCTTGGGATACTCCAGTACGTCATCACACCAGGTTAGTGACATTGGCCTTCCTCACACGGCCCCAGGCTCCCTCTTGTGTGGGCCAGCATGTGTGTGTGTGTCCTGGGGCTGGGCACTCTTCCCCAGACCCCACATGAGCTCAGTGGGGAGCCCAGAAGTGGTGCCCATGCCCCCTGCCTCTGGGCATGGCTTACTCACCCCCACAGCTGATGCCTCAGGGGGCTCCCGACACCGCGCTCCGTGCTGCCCGTCTGGGTGGGGAGCAGCAGGGTGTGTGTATGTGTGTGTGTATGTGTGTCTGAGGCTACGGTCACCCCTCTGCATGTGGTGTCCCCCAACTCGATTCAAACCAGCCTTCAAGTGGTTGGGGGTGGGGTTTGCAAAGCTGCATCCCCCTGAGCCTGGGTGCACACCCTAAATCCTCCTGTTGCCCCACCCACCCGCTCCACAGGGGAGCTGACGGAAGAGGGATCAGACCACAGGTGAGGAGCAGGAGGTGATGTCTGGTAACCAGGATCACGGAGGCTGAGCCCCGTGGCTCCCAAAGATGGGTTGCACCAGGCTTTGGGGGGCTGAGGGGGGAGTCTTGAGCCATAAAGCCCATCCCCAAGCCAGAGCCTGGCTTCTGGGAATGAGAAGGACCGCCAACAGGGCTCCCAGCCCCCTTGGCCCCTGGGGGTGTTGGGGGCCCAAGCCTCCTCCTGGGTGGGGTCCTACAGCAGGCCTTAAGGCAGCATCAACCTCACTTCATCCCTACCTTGTACTCGATCACAGGGGAACTGGTCAGACCCAGGAACCTACATTGAATCCCCATCTTTTCCTGGGCCTTCCATAACTCAGTACCACAAACCAGGTGACTTCAAACAACAGAAGTTTATTCTCTGGCAGTTCTGGAGGCTAGAAGTCCGAGATTAAGGTGTAGGCAGCACTGGCTCCCTCCAGGGGCTCCGAGGGAGACTACCCAAGGCTGCTCCCCTGGCTTCTTGTAGTCGCTGCCAGCAGTCTGCAGCTTGTGGCCACATCACCGCACCTCTGCCTCCACCATCAAGTGGCCTTCTTCCCGTGTGTCTCTGCATCCTCCTCTTGTAAGGACACCAGTCACATCGGATTTAGGGCCTACTCTGTACTCCAGTGTGACCTCATTCTAGCTAATCACACCTGCCAAGACCCTGTTTCCGAATAAGCTCACCTTGGGAGGTTCCCGATGGGTGTGAATCTGGAGGGGACCCTATTCAACCCAGAACGACTCCCTTCCTGTTCATCCAGCCTGTGACGGGCCTGTCACACGACCGAGGAGGACCGGGTCCCCGTCGCTCGGCTGCCCCGCTCCCTGGAGGCCATGGTGGTGCCAGGTGCCCGGCGGAGCAAGCCCTCCTGCACCTTGCTCCTGAACTCGGCAGACACGAAATAATAGATGAAGGGGTCCACACAGCTGTTGAGGGTGCTGAGCGCCAGGCTGGGCACGTAGGCGGCGTACAAGTCCCCCCAGGCGTCAGGGCCGGGGTTTGAGAAGTGCAGCAGCAGCAGCACGTTGCTGGGCGCGAAGAGGCCCACGGCAGAGGCCAGCACCAGCGCGGTCAGCCGCAGCGCGTGGCCGTAGCGCCGGCCCCCAGCCGCCAGCGTGCGTAGAGTGGCCCCGTAGCTCAGCACCATGGCCAGCAGCGGCAGGAAGCAGCCGAACCCCGCCAGGCAGATGAAGGTGGGCCGCCAGTAGGAGGCCTGGGCGCCGGTGGGCAGCACGTCATGGCACAGCACGTGGTCAGAGCGTGCCAGCCGGAAGGTCTGCTGCTGCAGTGCCAGGGGCATCGCCAGGGCAGCTGCCGCCAGCCAGGCCGTGACGCAGAGCCCGCCGGCCAGGCGCTGGCCTCGCAGGGTGCGGGCCCGCAGAGGGTGCACTACGGCCAGGTAGCGGTCCAGGCTGACAGCGGCCAGCAGCAACAGGGAGCCGTACAGGTGGCCGTAGAGTGCGGCTGTGTCCAGGCGGCAGGCGGCCTCGCCAAAGGGCCAGCGCTGGCCCCGCAGGTGGTAGGCAATCCGTGGCGGCAGCGCCAGCGCCAGCAGCAGGTCAGCGGCCGCCAGGTTCATCAGCATCACGGTGGAGGGCAGTCGGGGCACCTGCGTGGCCAGCACCCACAGTGCCAGGCTGTTGGCGGGCAGCCCCACTGCCAGGGCCAGCCCGTAGAGTGCAGGCACCAGCCTCGTGGGCACCCAGCCCAGCAGCAGGGCCCGAGAGTTGGCAGGGAGCTCCAGAGTGTTGCTGTCGTTGGTACAGGGCTGGCCAGGGAAGCTGCGGGGGTGGGGCCTCGGTGTGCTGTCTGGGGGGAGAGAGATCCAGAGGGAAGGGGATAGAAGCATCACCACCCCCACACCCCACCCGCCGACCCCTCATCTCGTTCCCCGACGGGATGGTGCTACCTCCTGAGAAACTAGAGGGGCCCCAGTTCTCAGGAGCCCCCGGGACAGAGCTGGACACGGACACACCCAGACCCTGTGGACTCCAGGCTAGGCTGGAAGACCCCCCAACCCCAGTTCGCTGTCTTTCCTTTGCTGGCTCTGGGCGACCTCCCTCTCAGTCCCAAGGCAGGGCCCAAGGTCACTCACCATCGCCTTCTGCTGTGCTCCCCACCTCCTCATAGCCGATGGGGGTCTGGGTGTCACCCAGGCTGAAACCCAGGGCCAGAGGCCACAGCAGCAAGAATACCCACATGTTGGCGAAGCTGGGTGCTTGCTGCTCTGGGCTGTGGCCGGCTGATCTTGGGCTTCCTGCCTGGCTGGACCCCCACCCCCAACTTCCTGCGTGCCCGCGGAGGAGTTAACAGGGCCGTGTGAGATAAGCCGGCCCCTGTCCTCACGAGTGGGTGGGTGGCCCCAGGCCTGGCCTAAGGAGATCGGGCAGCGGGGGCCACTGGGCTGTAGGGGAGGAGGAGGGGGTGTCAGGCTGCAGCCCCCACCTCCAGCCCCGGCCCAGCCTGGGAAGCCCCCGGGGGCCAAGTGGCCACTTCTTGCTGGCCGGTCACATCTTGGTTCCAGCCCTCTGGAACCACGTCCCGCCCCGCTCTTGGAACCAGCCCTCTGCATCACATCCCCCCCCCCCAACCCCAANGGAACCAGCCCTCTGCATCACATCCCCCCCCCCACCCCAATCTTGGCCCCTCCCAAAGCCCTCTCCTCCCAAATCCCCACCCCCAGCTCTGGCAGGCAGGACACCAGGTCAGAGGTCAGAAGAGGGGAGCGAACCCCCCATAAATGCCCCTGGCCCTCTGTGGGGGTTGCCCGACTTCATGCTGCCTAACCCAGCACAGGCCCCCAGGCAGATGCAGAGGAAGATGCAGAGAGCGGAAGGCATGGTGAGCCTGGGGTCTGCTATGGAGGAGGTTTTGGTCTTCAGCCAGAGCCCCCAGTGCTGACCACGTACTGTCCTGGGGATCTTAGGGGAGCCCAGCATCGGCTTTGTCTGGGAGGGGCCTGCTTCCTCATCTCAAAGCCCCTTCTTCTCCTGTCCTGGGCCCACCCTCCACCTGGGGCTATAGCGGGGCCTGAGCTGGAGGGGGGGCCAGCTAGCCCAGACAGCATCCCGAGCCCCCTTCCCTTTGGGCCTTCACCCCAAACACCTCTCCATGTCCCACCCAGAGGGCAGGGTACTCCTCTCTACTGAATAAGATCTCCCCTCCAGACCTCAGAAGGGGCTATGCCATCCTACCCTGGGGCGGACCCGCCCTCGGGGTTCTTGGTCTCCATGTGGTCAGGGCTGGGCCACAGTGGTGGGGGCAAGGTCGGGGAGCAGGGGGATCCTGAGGGAACCAGGGGCTGAGGGAAGAAGAAATGAACTCGGGGTTGGAGCGGGGATTGGATGAGACTGTCCTGGGATGGCGAGCCCTAATCTAGCCACACAGTTGGGGACATGGGGACCAGCCAGGAAATGACCAAGCAGTCCATGATAAGAGTCAGTGCAGCTGGAGGCTGAGATGCTGAGGTCCTTGCCCCCAGCCCCAGGGTTGGGGGGGCGGACACTGAGGCCTGGGGAGCTTCAGCAGGAGCAGGGGTCACAGCCAGGAGCCTTGCCCTCATTTCTAAGCAGTTTCCTCCAACGCCAGTGACACATTCAGCCCCATGCCTGCATCTCACAGCATACGTGATGGGGATACTCTCACGGCACAGGAAAATGGGGGCGGGGACCCCCTGCCGCCCCTCCAGGAGAGAGCAGGAAGCCTGCTCAGGGGAAGCTGGGGGAGGGAGGCCAGGGCGGCTCTTCCCCGCCCTGAGGAGTGTGGTTTGACTAGGAGTTCCGTGTCTAGAAATTTATGGCAGATACACACGCTCAGGAAGACGTTATGTACCAGGAAATTTCCGGCAGCGGGGGCGAGTGTAGGAGGTGCCCATAAATAACTCCCCCTCCACTCACCAGTCACCATGGAAATGGCCCTGGACCACAGGAGAGGGCCCCCAGACACAGCATGTGATGGTTCAGGGTGGCTGTCCCAGGGAGATGAGCCACATGGAGGCACCTCCTGAGGGGTGCTGGGGGGGCAGCTGCCTTCAGAGAGAGAGACTTGGGTGCCTACTTTTCTCTGTGTGCTTTTTCGTGCGGCTGGAACTTTCTGTACTGTGCATCACTTTTCATAAAAACTTAAATTTTTATGCTTAAAAATAGGCATAATAGTAGCTGTAAAAGGAAGGAAATTCTGACACAGGCTACAACATGGATGGACTTCAGAGACACTGTGCTGAGTGAAGTAAGCCAGTCATGAAAGGACAAATACTCTATGTTGTTCAGTCACTCAGTCATGTTTGACTCTCTGTGATCCCATGGACTGCAGGTCGCCAGGCTTCCCTGTCCTTCATTATCTCCCGGAGTTTGCTCAAACTCATGTTGAGTTGATGACGTCATCCAACCATCTCATCCTCTGTGGACCCCTTCTCCTGCCCTCAATCTTTCCCAGCATCAGGGTCTTTTCCAACGAGTCGGCTCTTTGCATCAGGCGGCCAAAGTATGCATGCACGTGCGCCAAGTAGTTTCAATCGTGTCTGATTCTCTGTGACCCCATGGACTGTGGCCCACCAGGCTCCCCTCCATCCATGGGATTTCCCAGGCAAGAATACTAGAGTGGGTTACCAAGCCCTTCTGGGTGTGAGGATTCCCAGGTGCACGCCCTGTGGTCAGGTCAGCTCCCCTGGCAGCAAGAGGTCACCCCAAGATTTGCTCATAGGAAATGACTGACTGAACCTCACAGCTTTAGGTCAGTATTTAACTTTAATGTGCAAATAAATAGAAAAGGAAAACTACATTCAAAACAGCTGCAAAGGAAGTACAAGCCCCAGAACAGAAATTTCTTCAGAAACGGAAGAGATGCTCCCTAGAAGCATGCAGGGTGGGGGCTCGGTGGGGTCTGGCCTGCACCCCAGGCCTGGGCGCAGCCACAGGTGGGGGGCTGCGGGCTCCTGAGGAGGACGGCTGCCGGGAGGGTCTGGGTCAGAAATTCTGGTGGGTGTCCTTCTTATAAAACAAGGATGCGTACAAAGTGCGTGAATTACACTTGAGAAAACATGGGCGAGGAGACACCCGGGCGGGGCAGGTTGGCCTGGAGTCTAAGGCTTCGCAAACCTAGAGTTCCCCAGGTAACTTCTAGAATTTCTGGAACCTTGGGTCTGGCACAGCTCAGCTGCAGGAAGGCGAGCGCTGCGGCTAGAGGCGGCGGCTGCTCAGCGGTGCCACCGGGCTCGCGTGTCGGGGGAGCCCACCTGTGTCTGATGGGGCCAGGGGCCTGGCCAGAGCGTCTCATGGTTCAAAGGGCTGTTCCCTGGCCCGAACTACTTGGCATTCTTGGCACAGAAAGCCCTCCGCCCCTCACACCCGTGCCCACTCCGGGGTGGTGGCCGCAGGAATGGAGGCGCTGGGGTGGGTATGTGGAATTCCACAAGGAGGGCAGTCACCCCCAGAGAAGCTGTGGCATTTGGCCATTGTAGAAGTTACAACACTATGAGCACAGAGGAATAAATAGGTGTGTGCATATATATACTTCTAGAATGTCCATCTTAGGTACACAATTGCACCCCGGGGCCCTCCCAGGGAGGGGGCACTCGAGCTCAGCGGATGCGTCAGGAGAGGCCCCCTCCCCTTAGGGCACAGAGTCCAGCTATTGGATCAACACAGGGTTTGGGCCTCTTTTTCCCACAGCAGGGTCTTCTGGGCAGTCCTGGTGCCGCCTACCCAACTCCACATCTGGACATCCAAGTGGGACCCCAAGAGTTGGGCTGAGCGGGCTTGTCTCATTTTCAAAGTGGTGGAGGACCCGTGCCGGCTGGGTCAAGCCAATGCCCAAACCATCAGATGCAGGTGTCCAGCTTGGGGAATGTTTCTGGCAGCTCTCAGAGCCCCTCGGGAAGGACATGCTTTTCAAGCAAGTCCACCTAGGCCTGATTCCTCAGGAGCCCAGGGGTTCTCAAAGGCTGCTTCCTCCCAACGTGAGGCCTGGCGCGGCTCTTCGCCGACTCTCACCATGTGCAGGAGAGGCCTGCGGCCCCAGGCCTGGGGGTTTGGCACGCATGGCAGGAGCGGCCCCGCAGACGTGTGAGCGTGCTTACTTGTGCCTGGGCCAGTGCACTCATCCTCCCCGCGCCCGTGGGGACCAAACCCCCATAGTTTAAGTGCGAGGGGTGTCAGGTTTGGCACAGGATGGGCCCAAAGGGGAGTGGGGAAGCCAAGAGGGATGAAGCGTGGGGCCGAGAGCCGCTGCCGCCCGCCCTCCTCTGGAGCTCAGCCCATAGCAGCAAGGCTGGGGGACGCTCTGCACCCCTCATGTTGTTGATGAAGACGCCCGAGGGACACGCAGGCCGAGGAAGCGCGCGCACCATGCAGTGCGCCGTGGAGGTACCTGCGCGGGGGCATCAGGGGGAGGCGGGGCGGCGGCTGTACTGCACGCGGTAGCGGTTCACGGGCAGGCCGTGCACATGCACCGTCTCACAGAGTGTCTTGCAGGGCACCATGTCCTCGTCCTCCTCACCCATCAGCCAGTCCTGCACCAGACTGGCTGCCTCCACTGTCACGTTGTCCTCCAGCCAGCGGCTATGCCACTCCTCAAAGTGCTGGTGGTGGCGCAGAAGGACCAGGGGCTGCACCTGCAGGGGGTGGGGAGCGGTGAGCACGGCCCGGCGCCCCAGAGCCGCGGCTGGCTCCCAGGGCCCACACCCCCCAGAAGGCCGCGGATCAGATCTCAGAGTCCACATACCCCAGAAGGCCACAGAGCAGATCCCAGGGCCCACACCCCCCAGAAGGCCGCGGATCAGATCTCAGAGTCCACATACCCCAGAAGGCCACGGATCAGATCCCAGGGCCCACACACCCCAGAAGGCCGTGGATCAGATCTCAAGGGCCCACATACCCCAGAAGGCCGTGGATCAGATCTCAGGGCCCACACACCCCAGAAGGCCACGGATCAGATCCCAGGGCCCACACACCCCAGAAGGCCGTGAATCAGATCTCAGGGGCCCACATACCCCAGAGTGCCATGGAGTGCATCTTGGGGGCCCAGGCACCCCAAAGGCCATGGGCTGGACCTCAGGGGCCCAGACACCCCCGAACAGCTGTGAGCTGGACCCCAGGCTCCCAAGGCTCGGGCAGGGAAGGACACCTGCTTGGCCCGGCACAGCGTCCCTCGGCGGTACATGTAGTCCTCGGAGTTCACGATGAACAGCATCTTGTGGGTGCTGAGCTTGAAGCGGCAGTCCACGTTGCAGGCGCTCTCCACCCCGACCAGCCGCCTCCAGGAACTCTTGGCCTCGCCACGGAGCGCGCGCACCTGCTCACACTGCCACCGGCGGAACTTCTTGAGGTTCCTGGGGGCGAGAGGCAGATCCGTAGGCTAGGAGGTCCCCACAGCCCAGACACTGGGAGGACGCCTGACCTCCCAGGGTTGGAGAAATGCAAACAGAGGCAACGGCAACCACCGCCCGACCCCTTGGATCCCGTGTGAACTCACACCCAGGCCCGCCGGGCACTGGTGACAATGGGAGAGGCTCCCCGGGGCCCTGGGCCCTCTCACCTCTGCAGGAACACGGGCTTCAGGAGGAAGCCCTCGGTGGGCGAGCTGGAGGCACCCTCCGCTCCCACATATTGCTCCACGTACCGAGCCAGGTGCTGGGGGGACAGAGGGAGAGACGGCCCATGGCATCAGCAGCTCCTGGGGCCTTCATCTGCATCCCTCCCGGAGCTCCAGGCGGACCCGGATGCGTGCTTGAGACCAGCAGATGGCAGCGTCCCGGGCTCAGCTGGGGTGGGACACGTACACCCAGGCCGCAACTCAGATGGCTTACGGAGCCTCAAGCTTAAAAGTGGATAAGTCCCTGCTGTGTTACTGCTTCACTGTATCTGCCACGTGGTAAGTTCACATGGGGAATGGGAGGCCTCCGACAGAGAGAGAGTGGGGTCCGGGGGATGGGTGGACGGGAAGGGACATCGGGACACAAGCAGCAGGAAGGAAGCGGGAGAGACAGGGAGGAGTTGGGGGTGAGTAGATGGCAGGGCTCACAGGGGCCACCAGGTCCAGGATGGGCACGGCCTGCAGCGTCCAAGGGACCCTTCATCTGCTCACCACCCTGTTAAAGCAGGAGGCTCTTCCAGACTCAAGCTTAACGAACGCACATTTGTTGGAAACTTCTGGAAGAGACAGAGTGTGCAGGCCCCCGCCCTCACGTGTTATGGAAAGTGTGTCCTCTAAAGGACGCTGTGAGGGGCGCCCTGGTGGCTGTGGTGGGCGGCGTCCCCCGCTCTGTGAAGGCAGCTGGAGGCTTCCAGGCCCTGTTTCCTGGCTCAAGGTCACCAAGGGGAAGGTGCATGTCAGTGTGGGCCAGGAGAGTTTTCTCCTGTGACGTGGGACACCCAGAGCTCTGAACTTCGGGCACCAGGCGTGCAGCAGTCACATACCACGGGGTCTGAGTGACTGGGCTAGCCACGGTACCACGGAGATGGCCTGGCACCAGCAGGAGGTGGGAGGAGCCAGGGTTTTGGTAGAGGCCAGACTGGCTCCCATGTGGCCACCTGCCCTGGGACATAACCCTGGTCTCTGAGGGAACACCAGAGGCCAGTGTTCAGCCAGCACAGAGGCACACTGGTGGATGTTCTGTGGCCTGTGTGTGGCCGGCAGGAGCCACATGGCGGATGCTGCCCGTGGCTGCCCCTGGTCCCCGAGGCGCGTGCGGCTCGGAGTGCAGGGCTGCGGTCCCCACCTGGACCTCCACGGGGTCCTCCGTCTGGGCTTCCTCGGTGTCCAGGAGCTCGATGGTCATGATCACTTGCCCTTTGCGCTGGAGGAACATCACCTGGGGGAGGGCAGGGGACAGTCTGAAGCTGCGAGAACAGCCCAGGCTGGCACAGGATGAGGGCACAAGGTCATCAATGCCCCCCGCTCCCCAGCCTCCAGGCCTCATCCTTTCTTGAGGGACCACTGCTGGGTGCCCGCCTCACCTGGGGTGGGTGCCCCCCCTCCCTCGGCTGACCGCTTACCTTGAAGCAGTTCTCGTCGGCCATGCACCGCTCGGCCTTCCACTGGTAGCTGGTCTCCCGGGCGGCACGGACGCAGCGGGAGGACAGGTTCCCACCAGCGGCACCCCGCTTCTTCTCGTTCAGGTAGAGCTCCACCACCTTCAGACAGACGTCGTCGCTCACGAGGTGGTGCAGCTGCAGGCACAAGGGCTGGTTGGTGCTGGGCGTGAGCCCCCCAGGAGCGGGGAGCCAAAGCCCCCACCTCGCTCAGAGGGGTCGTGGCCAAGTCCACGTGGTAGGGGGCGAAGGTCAGCATCCAACAGGCTGTGCAGGGTGGCCTCCATGCTGGGTGCGCACCAGACCAAACAAGCCCAGACCACACAAACCAGCCCAGACTGAAGCAAACTAAGTCAAAGCAGACCAGACCAAAGCAGACCAGCAAACTCTGCCCGGGTATGAGAAATGTACAGACAAAACGTGCCCAAAGGGGCGTGGTAATCACTGAAAATCACTGTGATGGCAAAAGATCATCCTTCCCCAACATTCAGTTACAGGGCTTCCCTGGTGGCTCAGTGCTAAAGAAGCCGCCTGCCAATGCAGGAGACGCAGCTTTGATCCCTGGGTTGGCAAGATCCCCTGGAGAAGGAAATGGCAGCCTACTCCAGTGTTCCTGTCTGGGAAATCCCATGGACAGAGGAGCCTGGTGGGCTACAGTCCACGGGATCACAAAGAGTCGGACACGACTTAGCGACTAAACAGCAACAATGTTCAGTTACAAGCGTAATTAACTCCTTTAACACCTATAAACATACTTAAAACCTTGAGTTTATGATGAGACAAGTACTGGAAACAGCTGAGGATGCAGGGTCAGATGGAGCAGAGTTGTCTCTGTGCAGTGAGTTGCGGCCCACACAGGCCGGAGACGTATTAATACATCTTTCGTTTGCTCAAATGCTACTGACTGGAAAAGTTTCAGTATCGCTTACACAGCAAATTGCCAGCCACAGGTGTTAGTTTCTGCAAAAATCCCCCTGTCAATAACGAGTTAAAACTGTTTCTACTGACTGCATCTGAGTGGCAGAGGAATGACATGATTCTTTCCTTTCTCTCCCACTTTACAATGAACAGCCTCACTTGACAACCAGGAAACCAAAGTCAAGTTAAATAACCTGAGTGTTCATCAAGCAGGACCCATGGTCCAGAACCACACTGGACTCGCCTGGGGCTCTGCTGTTTATCATGTGACCAATTTCCTCGTGCTGATGTTCAGCTGTGGGCGATGCTGAGGCACATCACGGCCAGTCCCCTCAGAAGTGAGCTAAGGCTCTTTACAAGTTGCTAAACTCCCCTCACAAGAGGTTTGTCAACAGGAGTGCTGACATCTCCTCGCACACACACACATCCACAGCAGCACTGGTCATCACTGCCAAGAGGTTGACGCAACCCAAGCGTCCATCAATGGATGAGTGGAAGCATCCAACAGAATGCAGTCACTCCACACAATGAAATGCCATTTGGGCATAAAAAACAGTACCATTTTGGGACTTCCCTGGTGGTCCAGTGGTTAAAAATCTGCCTTGCAATGCAGGGGACGTGGGTTTGATCCCTTGCCGGGAAACTAAGATCATACATGCCTCAGAGCAGCTCAGCCCAGGCTCCACAACTAGAGAGTCCAGGAGACTCAGTGAAGAGCCTGTGTACCACAACTAAGACCCGATATAGCCAAATTAATAAATATGCAAAAAAAAGTACTGCCACATGCTACAATGTGGATGAACCTTGAAAACACAATGCTGAGTGAAAGAAGCTAGACACCAGAGGCCACGATGTTGCATGAGTCCGTGTATATGAAATGTGCAAACAGGCACGTGCAGAGAGACAGAAAAGGGCTGGGAGAGGAAGGATGGGGAGTGACTGCCAGTGGTGACGGGGTTTCCTCGGGGCATAACGGGAATGTTCTAGAGCTAGGCAGATAACTGCACATTATAAATGTACTAAGTTCCACTGAAAGATTCAGTTAAGAATGGTGGATTTTACATTACACGAATTCCACCTTAACTGAGAATGAAGAAAAGTTGCCGACCATGGGGCCGACCACAGCACAGGAGTGAAGGAAAGGGCCCGGCGGGGCGGCCCGCCCGCTCACCTGCCGGGCGATGCTCTGCACCAGCTTGTCCATGGTGAAGCCCACGTAGGCGTGGATGGTGAACATCTCGCGCAGCGTGTCCTCGTACTGCGTGGGGTCGATGCTGCCCTCCAGCAGGCTCCGCACCATGTCCAGGAAGGCCGGGTAGTACTCCTCCAGCTCCACTTCACCTGCGGGCGGCACCCGGTCACTGCGGGTCTGGCTCACACACGCTGCCCACCTCCCAGCCCAGGCTTCCTCAGGGCAGCCGTCGCCCCTCCCGGCGCCCAGCGGGCGGGCCCTGGGGCTCACTCGGCTGCTTCAGCCGCAGCTCCATGGCAGGGTCGTTGCCCTTCTCACGGCGGCCCTCGCACAGCAGCTTCTCCCGCTCCTTCTCCGTGCGGTACTCCAGAAGCTGCTTCTGCGCCTGGCGGTAGATTTTCAACAGCCTGGAGCACAGCGTCTGATGGAGGCGCAGGAAGAAATACCAGTTGTTGTTGGCAAAGAAGAGGCTGTAGACGTCGTCCAGGGGCTTGTGCTGCGGCGGCTGCGGCTCTGGGGCCGGCGCCTCGCCTGCGGCCCCCTTCTCCTCTGGGGGGCTGCTCTGAGGCCCGGGCGCCGGCTTCTTCCGGTCGCCGCCAGGGTCTGCAGCCTGCCCCGGGGGGCTGGCCCGGCCCTCGTCGGCAGAGTCCTCAGATGCACCCAGGTCCAGCTGCTGGGAGAAGAAGAGGCTGGGCACGAACTGGTGCACCAGCTGGTGGATGGTGCCCTGGTCCTCCTTCTGGATGGCTGGCTGCCGCTTCACATAGTAGCTGATGAGGGCGGCCGCGTCCTCCAGGATCTGCCTGTCCTCGTACACGAAGATGAGGTGCGGCTCGCTGGAGGGGGCGCTGCGGCCCTCCGAGTGCTGCTCCTGGTGCTGGGAAGACAGAGCGGCCATTGGACAGGAGACCCGCGTGGAGACCCCCAGTCAGGGGCCAAACGAAGGCCACACTCCCACCACCAAGGCCTCCAACAGTGCCGAGACCGGCAGGATGAGGGCAGCCTCAGCGCAGCACGGGCCTCTGCCGCCATCATTCATTCACACTCAGCCAGGCCCTGGAAGACCTGCGACTGCTCCCACTCCAGGTCCTGCCCCCCCAGCCTTGCCCGCCTGGCTGACACCACCCTCACGTCTCCCGCCGCTGTCCATTCCCCACCTGCCACGAGCCCTCCACGGAGCTCCTATTACCTGGCGCCAGCACAGGCCACCTACCTGCTCGTTCCCGTCTACCAGCCCACTCTACAACCCCCCACACCGAGTCTAGAGGCACACAGGAGCGCCATCAGCCCCAGCTGCCCCACTTCCTCCGCCCCAGGCCTTCGCACACGACTCAGGAGAGGACCCTGGCCCTGGCACACCACCCCACACTCCTCTGATGCTGTGGGGGTGCTCAGCTTGTCCTGCGTGTGCACGAGACCTTCACACGCGCCTTGGCTCTTTCTCCCCAGAAAACCTCATCCTTGGGCTCATCCTTCCCTGCTATCTTTATCCAGTCAACAACTCTCCTTCTAGCAAATCTGAACACAATCTCAGTACTATGCAGCGGTGCACAAGCTGCCCCACATCGTACCCTCTCCTGGTGATGCTGGTCCCCTGCATGAGACAACAGAGGCAGGCACACCAGGTTCTGGGAAGAAGCGAGCATGGATGCTGTCCCTGTGAGCGGGGTGCCCTGAGGGCAGGCCTGGCCCTCCATCGCGCTCTCAACAGTGGCCCTGCGGGGTTACCCAGATGCCCTTGGAACGAGGGCCCGAAGGGAAAGAGGGGCAGGGCCTCTTAGGCTGCCCCCTGGCCAGGGACTTCACCTTCTGGGACAGGAAGCTCATGTGCTCGCATATCGATTGTAAAACCTGCAGCACCCAGAGACCTCCCTCCCTCCTCACTGGCGGGGAGGGCGGAGTCTGAGCGGGTCCGGCAGGCAGAGGTGGGGCACGGGCGCCGCAACTCAGCCCTGCTCCCGGCTCTTCAGTGTGACCTTCATCCTGCTGCTTCCAAGGCCCCACCTAGTGTGTGTCATAAATGCCCTTCAAAACCTTCTGGCCAAGTTCTGGAGCTCATAACGCAGACTGGCCTCTGCGAGCCACGTGACAAGAGAAGGGTCTTACTGCCCCAAGCACGAAGGAACCGCACACGTAGTGCTCACCAGGCCCGGTCCCTCTCCCTCAGACCCCAGGGAAGGCCCTGCGGGACTTTGCTTTTGGCAGCGGGGCGGGAGGGGCTGTGCCACCCATTCTGGGGGGGAGGGTGGAGTCTCAGGCCTCAAGGATCTGCAGCCTGAAGTACAGAGGCCAGGTCACAGGGTGGACCCTGGGGCTGGGTGGTGGGCGCCGAGCGTGGCAGGGAGGCAGGAGGGAAGGTGGTCTCGGCCAGCACCCTCGGTGGTCTCCACGGCCGTGTGGAGGAACACGAGCTCCAGGCAGGATGAGCCTCCCAGCGAGGCCTCGAGAGCCTGGAGGTGAGACCCCTGCTGCTCGCTGCTCCCGACCATGTGCGGGAGAGGAGGGGAAGTGGCCTGGCCAGGGGGCACTCGGTTAGGGACTCTGCTCCCTGACCTGGGCTCCGGCACTGGGCAGCGGCCCCTCCTTCCCCGACAGCCAATGCCCAGCGGGCCGCCCCCCACCAGGATTCCTGCCTCAGGCTCCCGCTAGGAACTCTCCCCGCAGGCACTGTTCAAAGCCCAGCTCCTTGAGCCCAGGGCCTGGCTGGCCTCACTCGGCCCCGTAAGCCGGACCTCACCAAAGCCGGGCAGTGCACTAAGACGGCACTGTGCTGGCGGCACGTGGCGCCCTCGTCTGCTGCAGCCGGGCCGGGCCAGGGGCCAGCTCCTGCGCCTGTTTCCCCACTGCTAAAACTGGGACAGTAACAGTACTATACAGTAAGGCCTGCAAGTAAGGGTTAGATGGGACGCTCCTCGTGGCCCACGGTGAGCAGCAGCAAAGGAAAGCTGCCGGCCCCAGTCACTTGAAGGAAGGTCCAGTGAGGGCGCGGGGAGCTGAGGAGCCTACCCTCTGCTGACAGCAGGGCGCCTTCCCGGGTCAGCCCGAGGCGGGCGGGAACAGCCCTCCTACCCGGGAGACAGGCCTGGAGAGCAGGGCCCCGGCTGAGGGGCCTCACCTCGTCATAGACGCTCTCGATTTCGTTGAGCAGGCTCTTGGAGCGGAGGGCCTTGGTGTCGTTCTGCTTGAAGTTCACGGCCTGGTGGTCCAGGGACTTGAGGTAGGCCTTCTCGTACTGCTCCCGCCAGATCTTGTTGAAGCCCTGCTGGGCCTCCCGCCACTCCTCCTCCTTGGCCTTTAGCCTGTGGGGCGAGCGGGCTCAGCACGGGGACGGCCCAGCACACCTGTCCTCCACCGCAGGCCCGCTGACCCGTCCATGCCCGGGACGGCCCGCTCCAGGCACGGGGGCTGGGCTCTGTGCTGGATGAAGGAGGCGGTGGGAACGGCTGTGGGGACCTCGCTACAGCCGGTCTAATGGTTACTCAAACATCACTGTCCTGAAGCTCCTCGCTGTCCTGGCCCGCACTCTCTGCAGCTGCGGGCTCAGCCACGGGGCTCCCTGCTAGACGGGACTGTGTCGGGCTCACTCACATCTGCGCCCCAGCACCAGGCCCCAGCACCCAGGGCAGCCACTTAACCAGTAACTTCCGGCAGGCAGAGGTGGGGCACGGGCGCCGCAACTCAGCCCTGCTCCCGGCTCTTCAGTGTGACCTTCATCCTGCTGCTTCCAAGGCCCCACCTAGTGTGTGTCATAAATGCCCTTCAAAACCTTCTGGCCAAGTTCTGGAGCTCATAACGCAGACTGGCCTCTGCGAGCCACGTGACAAGAGAAGGGTCTTACTGCCCCAAGCACGAAGGAACCGCACACGTAGTGCTCACCAGGCCCGGTCCCTCTCCCTCAGACCCCAGGGAAGGCCCTGCGGGACTTTGCTTTTGGCAGCGGGGTGGGAGGGGCTGTGCCACCCATTCTGGGGGGGAGGGTGGAGTCTCAGGCCTCAAGGATCTGCAGCCTGAAGTGCAGAGGCCAGGTCACAGGGTGGACCCTGGGGCTGGGTGGTGGGCGCCGAGCGTGGCAGGGAGGCAGGAGGGAAGGTGGTCTCGGCCAGCACCCTCGGTGGTCTCCACGGCCGTGTGGAGGAACACGAGCTCCAGGCAGGATGAGCCTCCCAGCGAGGCCTCGAGAGCCTGGAGGTGAGACCCCTGCTGCTCGCTGCTCCCGACCATGTGCGGGAGAGGAGGGGAAGTGGCCTGGCCAGGGGGCACTCGGTTAGGGACTCTGCTCCCTGACTTGGGCTCCGGCACTGGGCAGCGGCCCCTCCTTCCCCGACAGCCAACGCCCAGCGGGCCGCCCCCCACCAGGATTCCTGCCTCAGGCTCCCGCTAGGAACTCTCCCCGCAGGCACTGTTCAAAGCCCAGCTCCTTGAGCCCAGGGCCTGGCTGGCCTCACTCGGCCCCGTAAGCCGGACCTCACCAAAGCCGGGCAGTGCACTAAGACGGCACTGTGCTGGCGGCACGTGGCGCCCTCGTCTGCTGCAGCCGGGCCGGGCCAGGGGCCAGCTCCTGCGCCTGTTTCCCCACTGCTAAAACTGGGACAGTAACAGTACTATACAGTAAGGCCTGCAAGTAAGGGTTAGATGGGACGCTCCTCGTGGCCCACGGTGAGCAGCAGCAAAGGAAAGCTGCCGGCCCCAGTCACTTGAAGGAAGGTCCAGTGAGGGCGCGGGGAGCTGAGGAGCCTACCCTCTGCTGACAGCAGGGCGCCTTCCCGGGTCAGCCCGAGGCGGGCGGGAACAGCCCTCCTACCCGGGAGACAGGCCTGGAGAGCCGGGCCCCGGCTGAGGGGCCTCACCTCGTCATAGACGCTCTCGATTTCGTTGAGCAGGCTCTTGGAGCGGAGGGCCTTGGTGTCGTTCTGCTTGAAGTTCACGGCCTGGTGGTCCAGGGACTTGAGGTAGGCCTTCTCGTACTGCTCCCGCCAGATCTTGTTGAAGCCCTGCTGGGCCTCCCGCCACTCCTCCTCCTTGGCCTTCAGCCTGTGGGGCGAGCGGGCTCAGCACGGGGACGGCCCAGCACACCTGTCCTCCACCGCAGGCCCGCTGGCCCGTCCATGCCCGGGACGGCCCGCTCCAGGCACGGGGGCTGGGCTCTGTGCTGGATGAAGGAGGCGGTGGGAACGGCTGCGGGGACCTCGCTACAGCCGGTCTAATGGTTACTCAAACATCACTGTCCTGAAGCTCCTCGCTGTCCCGGCCCGCACTCTCTGCAGCTGCGGGCTCAGCCACGGGGCTCCCTGCTAGACGGGACTGTGTCGGGCTCACTCACATCTGCGCCCCAGCACCAGGCCCCAGCACCCAGGGCAGCCACTTAACCAGTAACTATTCACAGCACAGGGAGGGTCCCAACATACATGATTAAATAAAGGGCAAGCCATGACACAGGACGGTGCTGTTTCTGCTTTAAGATGATGACTGGATAGGATCATGTGCAGAGTGGAATGTTTGAGACGGACATGAAAAATCACTAGCAGCTGTACTTGCCTCTTGGGGATTTAACAGGGCGAGAAAGGAAGACCAGAACACAATCAACCAGCCTGAGTCCCCAGGGCCCCCCTCACGATTACACCTGTGACAAACAGCAGTAATGAGCCCCTGGGCAGTGTGGTGAGAAGCGTGAGGGCACCTTTTTAGGACAACGGGGACGGCGGTGACAGGGTTCTTCTTCAGGCTCTCGATAATCTCTGGGGCCTTGTCGCCGTAAATGCGGTGGATGGCACGGCGCTGGATCACTTCTGACGTGCCCCCCAGACAGTCGTCCAGCCGGAACTTCTCCTGGTCTTCCGGCGCCATGCGGGACAGCTTCTTCTGGACGCTCTCCAACACCCGGATCGTGGCCAGGTTGGTCTCCAGGACAACGTCTAACTATGGACAGGAAGGCAGAAAGAGGTCAGCGGGTCAGCTCATCCCCCAGGGATGAGCCTGGGCCAGTAGAAGGGATGCTTGGACAGGGCTGGGAAGGGGTGATGGATGCAGGCCCGGGGACTGGAGCGAGCATGACTGGTTACAGATCTGGGCCTCTGTGCTACCTGGACCTCCCCACTGGTGGACCCCTCTGAGGAGGGGGACGGGTCCTGGCCTGGCCCTCTTCACAGGCATTGAACGCACATTACCCTCATCAGTGAGGAAGGGATGCAGAGTATACACAGCCTGCAGGTGACTCCCCAAAATATGTGCTGGGGGCGGGGGAGCCAACCCCCAAGTCACAGGCCACGTGACTGCTTCCATTTAGGAGTGAACCAGCAGAGGCCTGGCTGGCGGCTGCTGTGGTCTGGGAGGCGCTCTACGCGAACAGTGAGAGAGAGGCTACTGGGGGGATGGTCTGGTGTCTCGGCGGGTGCTGGGGACACGGGCCTCCACAGGGGAGGGAATCCAGAGCTAGACACACACACACAAGACAAACACTTATGCACAAGATCCTCTCTGCTCCCCCTGACCCCACATACACATGGATGCAAGTGCCACTAGGGAGATGTGAATAAGGTCATGGGCTGGGTCAAGGTCCATAGCCCAGCTGTGACACTGCCTTAGAGATTTACAAGCCACTCCCACCGGGGCAAAGGTACCCGGAGCACTCTGTTATTTTTAAAACTGCATGTGAATCTACAATGCTCTCAGTAAAAAATTTTTGTTACAAAAATTAACTTAAGTGACCCTAACTGTAGCAAAGAGTTGGACACTACTGAGTGACTGAACTAAATTGAACTGTAGTAAATGAAATACACGCACACTTAAAAAAAAAAAAAGGCACCATCGCGGAGCCAGCCTGGAGGCCAGCAAGGCAGAGAAGGGAGGCTTTCAGGAGTGGCCCACTGCTGGAAGGCACTGGGATCGCCGACACCCTAGAGGAGACTGGCTGACCTCAGGAGGATCAGGGTGCGTCCTGTGGGGTGGGGGACACACAGAGGGGGCCAGAGGGAAGGCAGGGCCAAGGAGGGGCCCCCGGGGGCCCGCAGTGCCGCACGCACCTCGAAGCGCTCATCCTCACAGCGGTGCAGCTGCTCCTCGTAGGGCGTCTTCTTGGAGCTGACGAAGGTGGAGTCCTCAGACCAGGAGGGGAAGGACACCCAGGTGTCATTCAGCACCTGTGCCAAGAGGAAACGCCGTGACTGGAGAGGCAGGGGCCCGGTGGCCCGAGGGCTCTATTGTGTGGTCCAGCGTAGAAGAGCCAAGGATAAGGAACAATCTGCAGGAAATACGTTCGGTCCCTGGGTTTGGAAGATCCCCTGGAGAAGGGAAAGGCTGCCCACTAGAGTATCCTGGCCTGGAGAACATAGTCCATGGGGTCACACACAGTGTGACAATGCTGAGCGACCTTCACTTCATTTTGGTTCACTGATTTTGTTGCTGTTTTAGTTGCTAAGTCGCGTCCGATTCTTCTGTGACCTCATGGACTGTAGCCCGCCAGGATCCTCTCTGTCCATGGGGTTTGCCAGGCAAGAATACTGGAGTGGATTTCCATTTCCTCCTCCAGGGGATCTTCCTGGCCCAGGGATCAAACTCGCGTCTCCTGCATTGGCAGGCAGATTCTTTACCACTAAGCCACCAGGGAAGAGCAAATCATACTAATGGAAACATTAATTTAAAAGTGGTTTTAAGAGAAAATGTGACTTTGATCAAATGAACAAATCTACTACTTCGGGGTTGGGAAACTTTCTCTATAAAGGGCTAGGTAGTAAATATTTTAAGTTGTGCAGGTCACTGTTGGGTCTACAGGGAAACAGCCTTTTATTGTGATTCACAGATGTTACTTAAAAAAAAAAACCGTGAAGGTTTGCAGCAATCGTGCATCGAGTGAGTCCATCAGGGCCATTTTTCCAAAAGTATTTGCTCACTTTGGGTCTCTATGTCACATTCTGGTGATTCCCATGGTATTTCAAACTTTTTTCACTGTTACTGTATGTGTTATCAGGACCAGTGATCAGCAACTCACTGAACACTCGGATGGTTAGTGTCCTTTAGATATAAATATTTTAAATTAAGGTGTATACTGTTGTTGTTGTTTTCAATATAACACTATGCTTTTGAACTGTGGTGCTGGAGAAGACTCTTGAGAGTCCCTTGGACTGCAAGGAGATCCAACCAGTCCATCCTAAAGGAGATCAGTCCTGGGTATTCATTGGAAGGACTGATGTTGAAGCTGAAACTCCAATACTCTGGCCACCTGATGCGAAGAGCTGACTCATTTGAAAAGACCCTGATGCTGGGAAAGATTGAGGGCAGAAGGAGAAGGGGACGACAAAGGATGAGATGGCAGCGTCACCAACTCAATGGACACAAGTTTGGGCAAACTCCGTGTTGGTGATGGACAGGGAGGCCTGGTGTGCTGCGGTTCAAAGAGTCGGACACGACTGAGAGACTGAACTGAACTGAACTGATAGCACACTTAATATAGACCACAATATAGCATAAACATAACTTCCATATGCACTGGGAAACCAAAAATTTATGTGATTAACTTTACTGTGGTATTTGCTTTATTGCAGTGGTCTGGAACCAAACCCACAGTATCTGCAAGGTAATGGGACTTCCCCAATTGCTTGGTGAAGCCGAATGTAATGCAGATGTGCATTCAATCCTCGGGTCAGGAAGCTCCCTTGGAAAAGGAAATAGCAACCCACTGCAGTATTCTTGCCTGGAAAATCCCATGGACAGAGGAGCCTGGCAGGCTAGAGTCCATAGGGTCGCAGAGTCGGGTACGACTGAGGGTGTGAGCATACGTGCCCGCACCCACACACGCCTGGACTCAACTCTGCCTTTGTTCCGGTAAAGCAGCTGCAGACAGTATGGAAACAAACAGGCCTTACTTAAAAACACAGGCTGTGAACCAGATTTGGTTCATGGGCCATGCTCTGCTTACTCTCAGACTACATATCCTGGAATCGAGCAGGCACTCTTGAATTCTGGAAAAGCAGTAAGACTGTCAACTAACTTCAAAAAAGGGTCCAGTGGTCAAGCTAAAGAGAAACTCACTGAGGGCAGTGAACCTGGAACAGAGCGGGCTCATGGCAGATAAATCTCAGTCTGAATGATGGTGGATAAGCCAAAACCTGTGTGCTGGCAGCATGTGCTTTGTGGCTTGCAGGGCCACCTGCAGGGTAAGAAACCATCATCTCTGCCTGGGCATTTTGTTTTGCTACATCCCAGGACCATCTACCACTCAACACCCGAGGGGATCAACACCCTTCCATCCATCCAGAACAGGTGACGGGGGTTTTGTGGAGGGGCAGGACACAGGCACCACGCAAGCTGATGGAGCCCCCGTGGACGCTACCTCTTTGCAGATGGCTGTCCTCCCACTGCACTTGGGCTGCTGGTAGGTTTTGGGGAGCGCCCGGTAGCTGGATCCGATGCGCTTGCATGAGGCATAGTCGATCTCCCGGCTTATTCCGTCCCCAGATCTGTCATTCATGGGTGGGGCAAAGGACAGCTCTTTCACCCCCAGGAAGGACTTGAACTGTGCAAAGAGTTCTGGAAATTTCCTTCAGAAGTAAAGACAAATGGGATGGGGGGAGGGAGGGATTAATCAGGATCTTGGGATTAGCAGATACACACTACTATATATAAAATGGATGAACGACAAGGTACTACTGTATAGCACAGGGAACCACATTCAGTAAACTGTAATAACCTATAATAGAAAAGAATCTGAGAAAAAATATATATGGATAACTGAATCACCTTGCTGTACACCAGAAACTAACACAAGATTGTAAATCGACTACACTTCAATTGAGAAAGAAGTCTTAAGTACTTTCCTGGTGATCCAGCGATTGGTAGCCCACCTGCCAAAGCATGGCATGTGGGTTTGATCCTTGCTCTGGGAAGATGCCACACACTGCAGAGCAACTACTGAGCTCTTGAGCCCTAGATCCCATGCTCCGCAGCAAGAGAAACCACCGCAATGAGAATCCCGAGCACCGCAACTAGGGAGGAGCCCCCACCTGCTGCAACTAGAGAAAGCCTGTGCTCAGCAGTGAAGATCCAGCACAGCCCCTAAAAAATTAATTTAAGAAAAAAAGACAAATGGTAAGTCAGCCTCCTGAGGGCCTTCTGAGGATGATCCAGAGATATCAGAATGGCTTCATGTTGATGCAGGTAGTTAACAACGGTCAGAATCAACTTCAGAAAGGAGGGGTGAGAGGTGGAACTAGCATCCAAGATGGTAAAGTCATCATGTGTGTGACTGCCACCCCCCGCCATCCCTCTGTCACCAACCAGGCTCCACCACTCGTGGCAGGTCCTTGAAACACCCAAGATAAGACTGACCCAGGCTGGCAGAAGCTGGAGTCAGCGATGTTCCTTGACTAGAAGGGGCTGAGCACCAGGCCACGGGCTGGCAAACTAGTCAACCCGCCCAGGCCTATCTGCAGATAGATTCACCGGTGGACGGTCACATCCATTTGCTTAGTATTTCTTTGTGCATATTTGCTTGTGGATGATGTCAGAAGCTGGGTGGTCATGACCCTCGGTCCTTGACAGAAAAAGTCTGCTTCCCTGCCCCAGAGCCCTCCTCCCTCATGAGAGAGACCCTCTCCGTGGACACATTCTCAGGAATCATAACAGAATGGTCACGCATGTTGACGGGAAGATTTTAAGGCAACTGACCCCCAGTGTCATCTGGACTGTTTAAATGAATATCAAATTCTACAGAAAGGGTGCGGATATGTTGACAGCCGGTGCGGTGAATCTGCCTGGTGCCTAAGTCGAGCAGTCTCCGCTCCTTAACCGTGTGCTCCGAGACGGCCGTCTGCTGCAGCCCACCTTTAAGGACCGCCTCCCCCACCCCCAGCTTGGCTCACAAGAAAAGCCCACAGGCCAATGGAAATGCAGGCAAGGAAGACGACATCAGAGCAAAGGGTGTCCAAGGTTACCACTCTGAAGGGGGGCGACCCCACCCCTAACTCCAGCCACACTGTCACTAGGGAGCAGCTCTCTGGACCACTGCGCTCGGCCACCCATGATGTGCAAACCCAGAAAGCAGTTCACACATGCAGAGAGGCCTCCTGGGGGAGGGATGCCACACGAACAGTAACTCAGCTGGGCATCAGATCAAGACGGGCAAGCAGGGGGCTTCCTTGGTGGCTCAGTGTGTAAAGAACCTGCCTGCCAATGCAAGAGACGTGGCTGCAGTCCCCGAATCTAGGAAGATCCCACATGCTGCTGAGCAACAAAGCCCATACACCGCAACTACTGCGCCCACACGCCACTACTGCGCCCGCACGCCGCGACTACTGCGCCCACAGGCCGCGACTACTGAAGCCTGGCCGCCCTAGGGCCTGCCCTGCAGGAAGAGAAGGCCCTAAAATGAAAAGCTTGCGCACCACAGCTAGAGTGGTCCCTGCGCACTGCAACTGGAGAAAAGCCTGCCCAGCTACAAAGACCCAGCACAGCCAAAAATAAACAAAACTGAAAAAAGAAAAAAAAAAGGAACCAGCCACATTTTAGCTGAGCCTTGTGTGATGCTGCCATCCTGTTCTGGGCGGCTTTCCAGAGTGTTAACAGATCTTCAGCAGGCCCAGAAAGTTAACCCAACGGAAGGGACCAGTCTGATGTGTGCACACTTAACCCAACGGAAGGGACCAGCCTGATGTGTGTGCACTTAACCCAACGNAGAGGGGGTGAGTGAAGGGCCGGCTTCCAGGTCTAAAGAGGGGGTGAGTGAAGGGCCGGCTTCCAGGTCTAGAGAACAGAGGGTGATGAGTGAAGGGCCAGTCTATGGCCATACCACCCTGAACGCGCCCGATGTCGTCTGATCTCGGAAGCTAAGCAGGGTCAAGCCTGGTCAGTACTTGAATGGGAGTGAAGGGCCAGCTTCCAGGTCTGATCCCCCTGAGCTCGCCCACCACAACACAATGCCTTTTTTATGAAAGCTTGCCCTGGGAAAAGGGAGAGATATCCACTCAGGCCTCAGTTTCCTCAGCTGTAAAATGTATAGAGATATAGCAAATGCATTTACATTCTTGAGTTCATAGAAGGCTAAAAAAAAACTGGTCCCCTTTTCAGTTTCTAACTGGTCCTGATGAGAAAGGAAAGCAGACCCTGACACTGTAACAAATGCTGTTGAGATGCTCTCTTCTGCAACTTGCAGTGAGTGAATAAACAGAAGAATAAACCACAGAAAGAGGGGAGACCTTTGCCTCCTGACGGACAGAGGGATGTGGGGGCACCATGAAGATGCATTTGGCAAAGTGCACCCATGCCACGGGGATGCCAATGCAGACATGGGAAAGAATAAGCCTGGAGGGAGAACCTAGACGTGAAAAGAGACCTACAGACATACTAGAAAACAAAGCCCAGACCAGTTTTGTGCTCGGAGCCTGAGCCGGAGCTGTGTGCCTAGTGGTGTCGGCCCGGGTTGGCTGCATCGTGATCAGTGCAGAGAGGTGGTCACTCTTAAGCCAAGGGAGGGAGCATGAGTGACACGGCACATGGATGGCTCCTGGAGGTTGGCGAAGGTCCATTTGTGACATGGGTTATGGGTACAAGGGAATTTGCCTAAAAATGATTTTACCAAGCCATTCTTCAGTTATGTGGTTTCCTGGACCCGCGCTCTATTTTATGTGAAAAAGAAAAAGTTTAAAAACCTTTTTAATTATTAGGAAGGCCCAGGTAGCTGCCCCGCAGAGTCCGGCTGCCCCTGCAGTTGTCTTGGGGCCTAAACAGGCAGGCTCCCCTGGTGACTCAGATGGTAAAGAATCCGCCTGCAATGCCGGAGGTGACCTGGGTTCAATCCTGGGTCGGGAAGGTTCCCCTGGAGAAGGGAATGGCTACCCACTCCAGTATTCTTGCCTGGAGCATTCCATGGAGGGAGGAACCTGGTGTGCTATAGTCCATGGGGTCACAGAGAGTCAGACACGACTGAGTGACTAACGCATACACACTGTGACAAAAAAGCATGTCATGTGTAGGGAGAACTCACCATGTGTGAGACGTTAAGGCAAAGCTCACTTGGAGCTTTTTGAAAAACTGTGTAGGTATACTTATAATCCCCTTTTGACAGCATGGAAACTGAGGCTCAGATGGGGCTCGGACCCAGGCTGGATGTGACCAAGCTGGTGAGCAGGAAGCACACTGGCAGCCAGCACACGCCCCTTCCCACACACAGCACCTCCAGACCAGCTCCATCCCCTCGGAAGCTGCTGGCTGGGGGTGGCTCACACAGGGCAGCAGCATGTGATGGAAGTGGGTCACTGATCTGCTAACAGCACTTCTCTTGGGGCACGAGGGATGCTGACCAGTCATTTCATTCTTCCTGGTAATTTCTGATAGAATTTTAAAAAGCATAATGAATCTCCAGGGAATTACGCCAAGTGAAAAAAGCTGATCCTGAAAGGTTACACAACACACAATGTATGACTCTACCTAATTCTCTTGCCTTGTAAGCTTTAGAGAAGAAGCACAGGTTTGAGGGGTTGCCAGGGGCCTGGGGCATAGGAGGGATGTGGATCTGAGCATCAAACGCCAACACCAGGATTCCTGTGGTTCCAAGGCTGCTCTGTACCTGCACAGTGGCAGGGGACACACCAGCCTTCACAGTTGATACAACTGTACATATTCACACACATAAAAGGGAACATGAAAGGACGGGTGGGTCGTCTGAGTCAACATCCTGCTTATGACACTGACTACAGATGTTACCGTGGGGGAATGCTCCCCAGAAGTTCTGTGTTCTTTCTCACAACTGCTGGTGAATCTATTATGATGTCTCTAACAATTCCAACTTAAAAGAAAAAAATCGGAAAAAAACAGATATCCTGTTTTCCAAATACAACAGCCAAAAGATGGGCGAAAGGCATTTGCGGAACAAAATACAAGAGGGGAGAAGTACCACTCACCCTAGGAACGGGCCAACCAGCTGGAGGAGTTCAGAGCCGGACACCAGCTCCTGGTTGAAGAGGGCGATGCAGCGGAGGAAGTTCTCATAGACCTCCTGGCTCTTCAGCACCCGGCGCACCTGCAGGGAGAGGCAGTCAGAGGCCCCTGCGGGCCACGCCCCGCCCCTGCGCCCACCTGGTCTACCTCACCAGGTGCACACCAAGCCACGAACACAGGCTCTAGACGGTGGCTGTGGTCTGCAGGGGACTGTTCTCCACTCAGCACGTGCCCAGAGCCATCTCACTGGCTCTGCCCACTGACTGGGCAGGAAGCCCCTGGACTACCCCTGCTTCAGAGAAACCATACAGCTTCTGAGCGGCAGACGAGTGTCCCCAAATGTGGCACGGGCTCTGAGCTCAGCCTTTCCCACGTGTTTTGCCACCTCCTGCCCACTGCCCCCCACCGGCCACCTGCCGCCGCCTCCTCACTTGGACTGCTCAGATCTGAGCTGGGAGAGGCCAGCGTGGACCAGGCAAGGCCCAGAGGTCACTGGTCTCGCTGCCCACCTTGTCGAAGAAAGAGAACTCCTGCAGAGTGCCGTACTTGCCCACGGTGGCGATGGACAGGTCTTTGGTGCCACGGAGTTTCATCTTCTTCTGCGGAGAGAGAGTCCACGCCATGGATGCTCTGTGCATCTCACAGGTGGCCTGTGTCCATCATTGTGAGTCACACATCGCCAACACGGAGCGTTCCTGACAGGAACCGTCATCAGGACCCCCATGGATGAACTTCTCAGGACCAGCCACCTCAGCCTCCAGGACCGAGTGCAGAGTGGAAGTCACACAACCACCCTGCCCACAATCTGGGATCTAAATCTCAACAATTTAGTGCTTTTGCTACCAGGCAGGGGCATCACAGTGTAAGAATAGCAAGAGAGTCATGCCCTTAGATATAGTATCAGAGACCTCTTCTCCTGCCTGCTCCTCCCATGGGCTGTGACTGTGATTGGGGGGTATGGGGAGGGGGGGTGGCAATGAGAAGATCCTGGGGAAATTTGGGTTTTAAGTTGCTGTGAAGATTGTTCTCTCTAGGCTGGACTTGGACCTGAACTTGACCACACTCCTGAGACATCGAGGATACTACCAAACCATCTCCCAAATGCCTGAAGAATGATGGGCATGTGTCAAAAGGACACAAGAGCCAGCCTAAAGGGGCCCCACTGGCCAGATCTGAGGTAGTTTAGAGTCAAGACAGACAATGATAGTCACAGATTATACTGTGCTTCCACTTCAAGGGGCATGGGTTCGATGCCCAGCCTGGCGACTAAGATTCTGCAAGCTGCAAGGCACAGCCCAGAAAAACAAAGCAAAACAAGACAAAAAAACACAAAAGAACACGACAGTCACAGATTATAACCCGAGTCTATAAAGACACACATTAAACAGACAGAGATGGAGAAAAAGCTCTCCCTTCCAGTAGAAAGCCAACTAGCAAATACACAAGGGATGAGAATAAGAAAATCACCATCACAGGTGAGGAGCACAACAGGAGAGGAACCTCAGCGCCTCTCACTCCTTAGCAGGGCACCTTGTGCAGTGACCAACCTGCACAACTGTACATGGGCATCCTGCCCATGAGAGAGTTGTGAAGGTGAAAAGCAGCAGGCTGAGCAGTGTATCCAGTTTATGCGGGAGGAGATGACACCACATCTCACACTCTTGTTAGCCAAGGGAAACAGGTGAACAGCCACCTTAGAGTTCAGCTGTCTTCCCAAGCTCCCACAGACAGTGAATTTCAAGCTGGACTAGGGCCTAGACTCAGCCTCCTGCCCCAGCCTGTTGCTCAGGGCCTCCGCACGCTGCTCCCCAGGTCACCTACAGAGAAGGCCAGGCTGCTGAGAGTTGACACACACGTCTATGTGCACAGCTGACGGTTACCTTTGCTGGTGCAGACACGGGACGGAGGAGGGAGGGCCGGGAGCGCTTTTTGCTATGCTCCAGATTCTTCTCATGCTCGCTCTTTTGAACACTATTCATTTCACATGGCCCATTTCCTGTGAACTAAACACAAACACAGGAGGTGATCAGCGCTGGTGAGACAGAGCCTGACCCACCAGGGCTGGTTCTCACTGGATCTGAGCAGGCGGGACCACCTGAGACTCAGCTCATGACCCCAAAGAGCACTGTCTGCCCCGGGCCAGGGGCCTGGTCCTAATGCGAACTGAGCCTGGCTCTCAAGATGCTCACGTTTACTGTGGGAAAGATCTGTGTACCCAGCTCACCACAGCTGCACTCCGTGAGGCTGGGAGAAGGCTCATGGAAGGCCTCGATGGATGAGGGTCCTGACAAGTGAGGGAGGACTCAGCGGGGAGACACTGAAGTTGGGCCTTGGTGCAGGACTCACCCAGCAGACCACTGACAGGGTGTCTGCCTGTGTGTCTGGGTGCACCGCAGGAAGGGAAGCATTTCAGGTGAGACGACCAGTATATGCAAAGCCCTGGCAGCAAGAGGATGCGGCTGATGGCTGCCAGGTCACTTGGGGGCCTTCCAGCCAAGTCTGTGTTCTTTCCTATGAATGAGAAAATGCATCCTGGAGGCAATGTATCACGGGCGGGGGTCGGGGGGGTCTCACTGCTGGTCCTCTGCACCAAGCACTGATTAGCAGGTCAGGGTGCTGGCAGTATTCGTGGAGAATGGTTCTGGAGGAGTCAAGCAGCGCTTGCTGTCTGTACGGACGCCCAGGCAGGCACGGGAGAAGGCGGGCAGGCCGCAGCTCTCCTGCGGGGCTGGGCTGCAGAGGCGCAGCGCCGCCCACCCGCCACGGGGCCTCCATGCAGAGACAGCACAGGAGGGCGGGCCGCGTGGGGGACCGTGGCGCCTCCAAGCAAGCAGAGGCGAACGTCAGCTACGAGCCAGCTCTGTGCTGCTGCCAGCGACAGGCGTATCTGACACACCGCTATTCCAAACAGAAGAAACCCCTAGGGGCATGCCCCAACAAACAGGGTGCCATTTCTTTTTTAAAAGGATAAACATTTGTTTGCACTCAGAGGTTTCTGGAAAGATATATAAGACATTTCTAAGTTTATTTCTGAGGAGAATGACTGGGAAACTGAGGCAAGAAGGAGGGAAATTTACTTTTCATACTTGATGCTCTCATTAGTGCTTTTTTTCTATGAGCATGCACTATTTTTATATAAATAATTACAATGATAAAGATCTATTACTTAACTACAGATATAGTCAAAGCTGTGGTTTTTCCAGTAGTCATGTACAGATGTGAGTCAGACCATTAAGAAGGCTGAGCACTGAAGAACTGATGCTTTCAAACTGTGGTGCTGGAGAAGACTCTTGAGAGTCCCTTGGACAGCAAGGCGATCAAACCAGTCAATCCTAAAGGAAACCAACTCTGAATACTCACTGGAAGGACTAATGCTAAAGCTGAATCTCCAGTACTCTGGCCACCTGAAGCAAAGAGCTGACTCATTGGAAAAGTCCCTGATGCTGGGAAAGACTGAAGGCAAAAGTAGAAGGGGGCAACAGAGGATGAGATGGTTAGAAGCATCACCGACTCAATGGACATGAATTTGAGCAAACTCTGGGATACAGCGGAGGACAGAGGAGCCTGGCGTGCTATATAGTCCATGGGGTCGCAAAGAATCAAACACAACTTACCGACTGAACAATAACAAAGCCTGTCCCTGTCCAACAAAGTCTGTCCCTGTCCCTTAGGGGATTAATTCTTTGGAGGAGTAGCTATCCAAAGATTCAAGACTACTCAAGAACCTAAAGTAAAAAAATTCTTAACTGGTATCTGCCGTAGATCCCAGAACTGGTGCAAACATCGCTTCTTAGAGGGGGATGGGTAATAATAGGACTTGGTGGTGGGGGCGGGCGGAATGGGGGGTGAGGAGGACACCCACTGCACCCCAGTCAAGACCACCCAGCTGGAAAGCAAGCTCAGTTATCACCAACCTTCACCTAACAGTTCAGACAGTTCTTATGCCTCAGTCAAATGTCCCAATGTGCAAATGCCTGAGGCAGAAGGCCCCCAGAAACCATTTAGGTAAGGGCTGGCTCAGTTTGTGCTTGTCAATAAAGTTTCACTGGCACACAGCCAGGCCCACTAGCCGATGTAAGGCCTGTGGTTGCTCTCCCGGCTCCACAGCAGGGCTGCGCCTTTGCCACAGACTGCGCAGTCTGCAAAGCCTAAGATACTCACTGTTTGGCCCTTAACAGAAAAACTGCCGAGCCCTGATCTAGGCCAAACAGTCGAGTTTAATTAGGACAATATCCAATTTTACCTTTGGTTTCCTTCTCCTGCTGTTTTAGTAGAAACGTAAATATAAGATCACCTCATAAGATGAATTATATATACATATGAACATTTTAATAATTTTTAAAAGTTGATGAAATCTTTTAAAAAGCACAAACAGCTCTAATCACCCAATGTACACTTAAAAAAACACTGCTGGACTGATAACAAATACCATCTAAAGAAACTGAGTAGGTGCTTTTCTGAGGGAGATGCTTTTCTTTCCAGGGTGGGCTTTGTCAGAGTCCAGCTTGGTAAATGCCACACTGTGTCCGCCAGGGGGTGCTGCGACCACAGCTCTCAGAGAACAAGAGGCTCTAACCCCTCACAGAGAGGCAACAAGGTAACTCAGGAACCAGGGCCTGCAGAGTTCACATGAGCTGCGTAGACGGCCAGTGTGACCAGTTACCAAGCGTCTGCTGTGCACTGTCCCCACAACTCCAGCAGACGGGGCCCCCCACCCACCCCTGAGGCAGGTCTGATGGTTGCTCCGCCAAAGCAGGACCCTGCTTTGCAACCCTGGCCTCACCAGGGCCACTTTGCTTAAAAGCTTCCAACTGGCCTAGGGACAGACATTCTCATCTCATTTCTTAGATGGGGGAGCTGAGGGATGAGGAGGTGACCTGCCAGGCTCCTGCAGAGAGGAGGGGACAAAGCAGACATGGACCAGGTGTGTCATTCAGAGCCCCTATTCTGGTGCTGCACCCACCACCTCCTATCTAAGTGGGCTACGCTCCCGAGCCTCCCTGAGCAGGGCATGTCCTCCAGAATGGTGAAAGATGGCCAGGGACTCAGGAAGGCCTTTCCTTCCTGAAGCCACAAGGGTGGGCTGCACCTGGACCACATGGCGCTGACAGGGATGGCTCTGGGAAGGCCACTGGAGGATGCCGCTGGACACACATCCCTGCAGGAACGGTTCAGGAAGAGAACTGCCAACACCAAGGTCAGAGCTGAGATTCCAGACCCAGATCCAAGAGGACGACACCCAAAGACTATCCACCAAGTGTACGAGGGAGCAACAAAGGCTTTAAAGCAGGGGACACGATGCAGCTCGAGTTCCCTGGACACAGAGGCCCAAGTGCCCACAACCTTGGGCTGAGCCAAAAGAAGAAGGGTATGCAGTGGGAAGGAGGTGCTGAGATCCCGCTGCTCCTCGGCCACGTGGCCCCGGGAGCCAGTGAGGAGGGTCGGTCATGAGCCAGTTAGGGAGGTCTCTGATGAGCAGGAACACGCACAGAGAAGGAAGATGGCAATGAAGCTGCGGCTGCGAAGGGCATTATTTGGAAACACGGACAGAAAAACAAGTCGGGATTCTGAAGTTCAGAGAGATACACGGGGCAGACAGTGGACTTAAAGAAGCAAGTCAGACTCGAGAGTAGGGCCATGAGGAGGCAGCCAGGCTGAGAGGCCCAGTGCAGATGCGAGTTCTCTGTCCCTGGGGGGTCCAGACAAGGGCTGTGTTTCCCCCACCTGCCCAGGCATTTCTCAAGAGCTTTCGGCATGCCAGGGAGCAGGCTGGTGCTGGAGATGGGACGACCAGCCTGGATTTCAGGCTGGATTTTCCAGCACAACCATAGCAGCTCTTTCCAAAGCACTGAGTATAAGCTAGGCCCTGCGAGAAGCACTTGAAGGACAATACCTCAGTCCCAGCCTAAGCAGGAGGGGTGGTCAGTTCCACATAAGAGAGAAGGCAATGAAGCCTGGGAGGTGACATGGCCAGCTCAAGGGCCCCTGCCGCACCCAGAGCCCAAGGAGGCCCAGGCTGTGTGCTCACTGGGCTCAGTCCAGCCCCCCAGGACACCTGAGACTCCAAGAGGGTGGGCAGGACTGGTTGCAGCTCCCGGACTTGACATCAGCCCCACAGACGGGCTGTGGCACAGAGCCAGCTTCTCTGGCTCAGTCAGGAAGTGTTTCTGTGTGGAAACTACTCAGGGATGGTGCTCTGTGTCCTGGAGACAGTAACATGGGGATGAGCCCCAGATCGCACACCGGAAGTCCACTTGCTCAACCAAGAGTCTTGAATGGCATCCAAACTCAGACTGCTGTTGCCCTGGGAGCCCCTTCCTTCGAGACCTGCTGTCCTGCAGGCCCGTGCCCCCACTGCACCCTCACTCAAGAAGCAGACCCGGGAGAGGCAGTGGTGACGCAGGAGGCTGGGAGGGGGACTCTGGTGTGCTCACCGCCCAAGCTGTCGTCAAGGGCAAAGAGAAAGAGCAAAGAGAGGAAATGGAACGCTCATCAACCTTCGAATAGAGGGGGCTTCCTCAGCCTGAGGCTGCTTACGAAAAGCCCCCAGCTCACATCACACTTGTGGTGAAAGACGGAAGCTTTTCCTCTAAGATCAGGAGCGAGACATGGACACCTGCTCTCACCACTTCTAATCCACACAATACTGGAAGTTCTGTCAGAGCAACTGGGCCAAAAAAGGAAACAAAAGCACACAAACTGGAAAAACTATGTAATTAGCAAATCCTAGGGAATCCACGAAAACTATCAAAGCAAATAAAAGGGTTCAGCAAAGTTGCAGGATACAAAATCAACACAAAAAAGCAGTGCTGTTTCTGTATATGAGCAATGACTAATGCAGAAGTGAAACTAAGAGAACAACTGCAGGACTTCCCTGGTGGCTCAGTGGTAAAGAACTGTTTCCCGACGCGGGAAGATCCCACAGGCCTCGGAGCAACTACGCCCGTCGACCACAACTATTAAGCCTGTGCTGGAGAGCCAGGGAGTCTAAACTACTGAGCCTACATGCCGTAACCACTGAAGGCCGTGTGCCTGGAGCCTGTGCGCCCAAGGAGAAGCCTCCACAAGGAGAAGCCCGCGCACAACTCGAGTGGCCCCCACTCTCCACATCTGGGGAAAAGCCCGAGCAGCAAGAAGACCCAGCCAGACAAAAACAATCAGTCAATCAAGTTATACGCAAAAAACTTCCATGACAACAAAAAGGATAAAGTATTTGGAAATAAATTTAATCAAAGGGGTCAAGACTTACACAGTGGGGGAAAAAAAAATATGAAACACTGCTGAGAGAAATTAAACATTTAAATAAAGGGAGAAATGCTGTGTATTTGTTGGGTAGAGGACTTCATCTTGTTAGGAAGGCAATACTCCCTCAAACAGTTAGAAGATTCAATGCAATCACTTTCAAACTCCCAATGGCCTTTTTTGCTAGAATGGAAAATCCAATCTTTAAATTCATATAGAACTACAAGGGGCCCTGACTAGCAAGAACAATCCTGAAAAAGAACCAAATCGGGGGCCCATGCTTCCTGATTTTAAACTTACTACAAAGCAACAGTAATCAAGATGATGTGGTGCAGGCCAAAGGCAGACATGGAGATCAACGGATTAGAAGTGAGAGTCCAGAAATAAACCCATAATACTGGTCATCTGATTTCTGACAAGCGTGCCAAGACTATACAATGGGAACAGAACAATTCCCTCAACATACCAGACTGGACCCCTATCTCACACCATATACAAACATTAAGTCAAACTGGATCACCGACCCAAACACTAGAGCTAAAACTAAACAAGTACTAGAAAAAAACTTAGAGGCAAACCTTCATGACCTCAGAATTAGCAACAGATTCTTAGATTTGACAGTGAAAGCATGGTCAACGAAAGGAAAAAACAGGTAACTGGACTTGACCAAAGGACACTAACAAGAAAGTGCAGACAACCTAGAGAATAGAGGAAAATACCTGATAAGGGACTAACGACAAGAGTATATAAAGAACTCTTAAAACCCAACAACCAGGAGACAAACGGAAGACTGTGCAAAGTACTTGAATAGACAGTTCTCCAAAGGTAAACAGATGGCCAGTAAGCACATGAAATGCTCAGTATCATGAGTCAGCAGGGAAATGCAAATCACAACCATAACGAGATACCATTTCACGCCAACTCAAAGACTATCTTTTTTTTTAAAAAAAAAAAGGAAATCTTGAGCATTGGTGATGATGTGGAAAACTGAAACCCAAGTATACTGCTAGTGAGAACGGAAAACGGTCCAGCCACTGTGGAAAACAGTCTGGCGGTTTCTCAAAAGTTAAACATACACTTACCATAAGACTCAGCAATTTCACTCCTAGGTACAGACAAAGAACCGAAAACATGTGTTCAAGCAAAACCTTGTACATGTGTGTTCACAGCAGCACTATCCACAGTGACCAAAGGGCAACAACCCAAGTGTCCATCAATGGATGAACAGATGAACAGACTGTGATCCATCCACACAAGGGAATTACTATCCGGCCATACAAGTGATGAAGTTCTGACACATCACAGATGAAGCTTAAAAACATGAGGCTGAGTGAAAGAAGCCATGTGCCAATCAAAGGCCACATGTCATATGATTCCACCTATCAACACAAGAAATGTCCACAACAGGTGAATCCACAGAGACAGAAAGCAGACTGGAGGCTGCCAGGGTCTCAGGAGGAGAGGATAGGGAGTGACTGCTAGCGGGGATGTTTCCTTTTGGGGTGCTGGGGATGTTCTGCAACTAGACAGAAGTGATGGTTGCACAACACTATGAATACCCTAAACACTACTGAACTGCACATTTTAAAATGGTGAATGTTATGTTACGTGAATTTTCCTTCAACTTTTTTCTGAAAGCTGTTAAGTTCGCAAGAAAAGAAAAAGAGGAGGAGGAAATGGAAAAGGCAGCTTGGCAGGCCTCAGGCCACAGCAGAGAGAGAAAGGCTGACAGTGCAGTCTGCGCTCCCAAGCTCCCCATCCCAGGCCCCTCTGCCGCTCCCAGTTCTATGCCCCCGCCCCAGTCACGGCTGAGCCTCAGCCCACGTCCACTCGGTCCCTCCGCACAGGCAGGCAGTGAGCCTGAGCCCTCCTGCACCATAGGCTCCGATTACAGGCAGGTCTCCATTAGAAGACGCTCTGCCCTCCAAACCGGCCCTCACACCCACCGCTCTCGATCCAGAGAAGCCCTGTGGAGGACCTGCTCCAGGTCAGTGAGGGCGTGGAGCCTCCACGAGGGGCCGGATGGCTGCACTGGGCGTGGCTTTGGGGGAGAGGATAAGCCCGGCCTGGCCTGAAGGCTGCACTGAGGCGTGGGGCTCTGGCTGAGAACGTGGCCCCAGACGGGGGTGGGTGCTCCGTACTCACGAGGGAGCGCTTGGCTTCAGGCAGGAACTGTCCAAACTCGGAGAGCAGGTCCTCCTGGCCGCGGAAGAGGTTGGCCACCTCGGTGAACACCTCCTCTTCAGACATGCCTCGAAAGGGACGGCCCTTCGTGCTCAGCTGCTCCTTCTGTGGATTTTCAGGAAAAGGAAAACGAGTTGTTAGGCAAGGAAGCAGGAGACACCCTAGGCCAGGACATTCCAGCATCCCACTGTGGATGAGAGATGGACGGTTCACGAAAGACAGGCTCAGCAGGCAGAGCCCCTGACTGCTGCCACCAGGGGAGAGGGCCCAGCCTGCTGCCTAGCTGACACCTGGGCTACCCCCCCAACCACTCCCCTTCCACCGGCTCTGGAGAATGGCCCCGTGTGCTTGCATCTTGACCCTGCTGCGCAACTTGGCCTGAGCCCCAGCCATGGAAGCAGTCAGATCTGGGAGCGTGGAGGCAATGCGGGTGAGGCACGGTCACGGAAGGACCTTGCCCCAGCCCTTGAGCAGCACTGTTGCGCAGAGGCTGCGGAAGGGCAAGGTCAATGGCGAATCCACATGGCTCCCAAGGGCAAGGGGACTCGTCCTGCTGGGCAGGGAAAATGAGGAGCTAGCGCTGGGTCTGGAAGGGGCAGAGGGTGAAGAAGGACAGGAAGGAACCTGCAGGTTATGGGACTTGCTCTCCCAGGGTCACCAAGACCCCAGAAGGGAGATGGCTTGACCTGGAGCTTAAGACAACAAGATGAAGACCAGAAGGGTCACAGGTTGGGAGGGCAGGAAGAGGTGAGGAGAATGCAAGTCGGCCGTCAGAAGTCAGTCCTTGGACTCCCCTGTTGGCACTGTGGTTAAGAATCCGCCTGCCAATGCAGGAGAGACTGGTTTGACCCCTGACTGGGCAAGATCCTACATGAGGTCTGTGCACCACAACCGCTGAAGCTCGCGTGCCTGGAGACCGCTCCGCGACAAGAGGAGCCACCACGATGAGAAGCCAGCGCACCACTTTTAGAGAGTAGCCTCGCTCGACACAACTAGAGAAAGCCAGTGCACAGCGTCGGGAGGTTCAAGAGGGAGGGGACATATATATACACCCATGGCTGATTCGGGCTGATACTCGGCAGAAAACAACAAAATTCTATAAAGCAATTATCCTTCAATTAAAATAAAAACTAAAAAACAAAAAACCCAGTAGCCAAAAAAAAAAAAGAAGAGTGAATTAAAAGAAAAGTTAGTCCCTATCAACTTTACACACGGAATATGAATCAGCAAGCAGCACGACAAGGCTTCAACATCCTCCCCCCAGAGCCGCAGAGGGGGGAGACAAGGAATGGGAGCCCTTGGCTCGCCCTCCCCTCCAGGCCCGCTTCGCCCCGCGAGGAAAGGTGCTTTCCCAATCCTGGCACACGGAGCACCTGTTAGGAGGGAGAAAAAACTGCCTCCACCCTACCCTGCCCCAAGTTACCAGGACACTTGAAGGCCAAAGGAAAAACAGGCAAAGGACACTCAGCTCAGAGAACAAATACAAATCATTCCTATGCAGATAAAACAGTGATCAGACTAAGTGATGTTTGAATAAATACAATTTAAAACAGCATCACAAAATAAATAAAACAGCATCACAGCAGGTGGCTCCATGGTAAAGAACCCGCCTGCCAATGCAGGAGACCCAAGAGGCTAGGGTTCAATACCTGGGTCAGGAAGATTCCCTGGAGGAGGAAATGGCAACCCACCTTCAGGATTCTTGCCTGGAGAATTCTATGGACAGAGGAGCCTGGTGGGCTACAGTCCATGGGATCACCAAGAGTCGGACATGACTGAGCACCCACAACACAGTCACAGCAGTTTTGCTCATCAGACTGGCTAAGTGACTGGTGATGTCTGTGCAGGGTGTGGGGACCTGGGCGCTCTCATTACAAGGTGGAAAGAAAGCCTGGTGCCCCTGGCAGAGGGAAGCCTGGCACCATCTACGATCATGTGACGGGCGCACACTCTCTAACGGAGGGATGTACCTTCTGCAAATTTTCCCACAGAAAGAGTCAGCTATGCTCTAAGGCCTGTTTTAAACAGACATCTGTTTGGGACAAATACTAAAGAGTGATTTGAGCATGGTATGGATTCTTCATTTGCTACTAAGACAGAATTTTGTCCAGGAGTAACAAGGGGTGAATGTGGAGAAGCATGCCTGGCTGAGCCAAGCCATGTGGGAAACCCATGACACCCGACACGCACACACCCTCCCTCAGCTGTTAGGAGCCACCCTTCCAATCTGGGGCGACATCAACCCATCGCATTTTAGGAAACTTTCTCCTGGTACCTCACAGTGACCTGCAGGCTGCAACCTTTCCACACCCACGTCCACAGCTGAGCCTCAGGCCTTCTCCAAGGTCGAGTGTTGCAATATTCACATCACGCTTAGCCATCTACCGAGTGTACGATGGTGCCACTGGTTTCTGGTAGGTGCCTATATATATATGTGTGTATATATATATATATTTTGCTCCGCTGGGTCTTCGTTGCTGTGCATAGGCTTCCTCTAGCTTCTGCGAGCAGGGGCTCCTCTCCAGTTGCAGCACTCTGGCTTTTCATGGCAGTGGCTTCTCTTCTTGGGGACCATGCAGGCTTCTAAGGCATGTGGGCTCGGTAGGTGTGGCACCCAGGCTTAACTGCCCTGAGGCATGTGAGATCTTCCCGGACCAGGGGTCGAACCTGTGTCCCCTGCATTGGCAGGCACTCTCAACCCCTGGACCACCAGGAAAGGCCCAGTACCTTTTTTTTGTTAGTGTGTGCTGACACAGTTTTGGAGGGTCGTGCCCTGACCCTGTTTCCCATAAGCCCTGTGGCTGGGGCGTACATGCAGACTGTGGTCACTCTGGGGATGTCAGGGCAGAGCTGGCTGTGCCTGTCCAGGCACACGACACATGTATGAAGCTGTCTAAGGGAACCTACTCCCCTCCACTGACCTGAAGCAAGCACTGTGCTTCAATCAGTGATCTCAGTGAACCACGTTTAATTGGATCAGCACCACCACTTTATAGCTAGTTTACGGATTAGAACCCCAAGGTTCAGGGTGGTGAGCAAAAGGACTCTGAAGGGCAGGGGTCACAGCTAAGGTCTGAACCGAGGCTTGACAGATGAAAAAAAAACAAGTAACGTGGCTAAATTTACTCTAGAGCCACTCTGGCCTCACAATGTCTTAAAAAAGATTCAAATCCAGACTTCCCTAGTGGTCCAGTGGTTAAGACTCTGTCTGCATGCCAATGCAGGGAACACAGGTTCGATCCTTGGTCCAGGAAGATCCCACATGCCGTGGGGCAACTGTGCCCGCAGCCCGCAGCTACTGAAGCCCAAGCACCCTAAAGCCCGTGCTCTGCAACGAGAAGCCGCTGCAAGCAGAAGCCCGTGCACCACAAGGAAGAGCACCCCCACTCACCGCAACTCAAGAAAGTCCGAAGAGCAACAAAGAACAGGGCGGCCAAAATTAAATAAATTAAAAAAAAAAATCTGAGCCAATGTTCTAAAATCAGAATAACTCACACAGAAATTCACACTGCCAGCTCCTCTTGAAGAAATGGATGGCCCCTGCTGCCAGGGTGCCTGTTGGAAAAGCAGGTGCCTGGCAGAACCTGGAGTGGAGGCCCAGGCGGCTGCATTTCCAACTGACTCCTGTGGCTGCGGCTGGAGGCTGAGCTGTACCTTTCCCCTCACGCTTTCTCCAGATCAACCTGCAGCCCTTCGCTATGACCTTGGTTAAGTCAAACTTCTCTGCTCAATTCCCATCAACAGAAGAGATACCTTCCCTCTAATGACCCTTCTTGTCCCTGAGATGTTCGGACCCCGCAGAATCTGTGAAGGACCCATAAACCCCCATGGTTACAAACAGACTGGTGTTCAGAGCTGCCACGTGCAACCATTTCTCTGTGAGAAGCAGGAAGTTCTTAATGCTGTGCAAAGCGCAGCAGCTGCTGGAGGTGAGGCTGACAGGGCCACACGTCACCAGCACTAGTGCCTGCACGTGTTCAGGCCATCGAAATAGCTCCACTGGGCCTACAGGAAGCAAGTACTGTCAATCTCATCATCAACATTTACGCTAAAAGCAATCTCACTTCTTCATTTCTCTTATTAAGGTTGTGCACAAGATTTCACTTTTAAAAGTGGGTCCTCAGGACTTCCCTGGTGGTCCAATTGCTAAGACTCTGTGCTCCCAAGGCAGGGGCCCGGGGTTCAATCCCTGGTCAGGGAACTAGATCCCACAAACCATAACTAAAAAGTCTATATCACAACTACATGCTACAACAAACATCTAAGACAGGGTGTGGCCAAATAAATGAATGAAAATAAACATTTTTTTTAAAAATGGGCTCTGTTGCTTAGAAAAACAAAAAGCAGCAGAGAGTCCACGTCTGGGCAAAGATGATGTCTGAACTCCTTGCATGACACTGATGCCCCTTGCCACTGGCCTGCCTGTCAGTCAGTTCAATTCAGTTCAGTCGCTCAGTCAAATCCGACTCTTTGTGACCCCATGAATCGCAACACGCCAGGCCTCCCTGCCCATCACCAACTCCCGGAGTTTACTCAAACTCATGTCCATCGAGTCAGTGATGCCATCCAGCCATCTCATCCTCTGTCGTCCCCTTCTCCTCCNTAACCAAGCCTGCATGCCACAGCTGGAGTCTGTGTGCCACAGTGATAGATCTACACGGTGCCATGAAGACCGAGTACCACGACTAAGTCCCAATGCGGCCAAAGTAAGTAACTAAATATTAAAAGAAATTCAGCCTGACCCCTCATGGGGTCAGCAGCCTTCACACTGATACACCTCTCCTCTGCACAGCCCTAAACTGAACTCCGAGGCAACAGCAACCATTCATCTCCGTTGATCCAGTACCTGGCACGAGGCCCAGTTGTAGTCAGCATAAATGAACGGTAGTTCTATTGTCTAAATGATAACTAAGCCATTCTACAAAAGGAAAACTGTCTTCTTGGGGGGTTCTTTAATCCTCTAATGTGTGTTTCCCAAAGAGGGTGCAGAGGTGCCTCAGGGAGCAAACTGAAAGCAAACCCACACAGAACACCGACAGGCACACTCCTGTTCACAGAAGCGTGACTCACAGCGGCCGTCCGGTGGAAGCAACCCAAGTATCTGCTGATGGACGAAGGGACAAAGAAAATGAGGCCAAGCCATACAATGCAGTAATATTCCGCCTCAAAAAGAAGGCCATTCTGAAACACGGTACAACGCGGACGGACCTTAAGGGCATCACGCTAAATGAAACAAGCCAGTCAAAAGCACAAATATGATGCCACTCACAGGAGGCCCCCAGCAGAGCCAGATCCAGAGACAGAAAGTAGAAGGGCGGGTGCCAGGGGCTGGGTGAGGGAGGAAGGGGGAGTCGCAAGAGTTTAATGGGGACACAATTTCAATTCAGGAAGATTAAAAAGTTCTGAAAATGCATGATGGTGATGGTTGCACAACAGTGTGACTGTACAGTACATAATACCACTGAAGTGTACACTTAAAAATGTTTAAGTTTTACATATATATTCTACCACAGTAGAAAATAAAATTAACACAGAAAAAAAAAAAGAGCTAATCAGAATTTTACAGGAATTCACGAAGAGAACCGGAATGCTTCTGCTGCACCTGACACTGGGCAGCGCCACACACCCACAGCGAAGCGCGACCTAAGCCTTACCTGGTAGGTGTGCAGTATCTCCAGGAAGGACCTGTAGATTTCCGGGTGGTCCAGAAAGCGGGTCTTAATTTTGTTCACGTAGCTGATGGCATTGTTGAACTCCACGGAATCGGACTCCAAGGGCACCTGGGGTTTGTCCTCCTTGTACAGCACCTGTTGCTTCACGTTCTCTGCACAGTCGCTGTGGTTGTGCGAATTCTCCTGACAACAGTACAGTGAGTTACTGGCGGGCGCGACACGGGCAGCAGACGTGAGAAACACCAGACTGAGCCACTGCAAGGGCAGGCGAACCTTAGCACAGGGCTGAGTTTTTCCTTCAATACAGAACAAGTTTACTTCTGGGGGCCTGGAGAGAGGGAAGCGGAGACGGGGCACGCAGACACGGAGACGCTGAGTCCCCCTCAGCCTTCGGGCGCCTGTGCGTTCCTGGGTCTCACCAACTCACCTCTGCCCGATCCTTCTAACAAGACTCAGGGACCATGAAACCAGGATGCACACTCCACACTTTGAAAAATTAGCATTCTCCAGAAAACTACAAAGAGTAGATTGTTCAATCCTTTTAAGAGCAGAATTCGGGGCCGTTTATAACAAAGTCTTCCCACCCTCTGGCCAGTCCATTTCAGCAAGACTGTTTTCAGGTGTGAAAGCTACTTGCTGTCAGCAGGCAGGAGACTGGGACCCTGCAGGTGAGGGAGGCCCACTATCCAGGTTGCCCAGGGTCGTGGGGCTTCTGGTGCTAAGCCCGGGGCAAGTTACATGAGAGAAGAGTGATGGGCCCTGAGCAGGCATCAAATATGCTCTCCATTTACATGTTTTTCTGTTAACATAAATACAAATAAAAAACAGACACACGTCTCTCTTTCCCAGAAGTTGGAATCCTAATTCACAGTGGGACAGCGGGACAGGACCACCCCACAAAGGAGGTGATGTTTTTGTTTTTAGACTGGAATTTCATGTGTGGTCCTGAGGATGGCAAGACTGAAGGCAAAAGGAGAAGAGGGTGGCACAGGATGAGATGGTTGGATGGCATCACCAACTCAATGGACAGGAACCTGAACAAACTCCAGGAGACAGGGGAGGATACAAAAGTCTGGCGTGCTGCAGTCCATAGGGTCCAAGAGTCGTACACGACTTAGTGACTGAACAATCACCTGAGAATGGCCTCACTCTGCCACTGACCACAGCTGGGCTGTCGGGACTGACCCTCGGCTTCCTGCGGGTCCCCGCCTGGGTCTCAGGCAGGTCAGGATCCCTCTGGTTTGGCTTGAGGTCTTTGCATACACAACCCCTTTTAGGGAATCTTCTAGACCTCATCTCCTAGCACTTTGAGCCCCTTTCTCGCTTGCTTTTTCTCCACGGCACATACCACTTTCCTACAGGTGACACATTTTACTTATTTTCCTGTCTGTCCAGCCCTGAGCTGCAGGGAGACTCCAGGGGAGCAGGGATTCTATTTTGGACATGGCTGTATCTCCAGTGCCTGGAGCAGTGCTTAGAAGAGAGTGGGCTTCATCCACGGCTGGGGATGATCGGGTGAACTCCCCTGGCACCTGCAGCTGACCCTGGACCCCAGGGGCCTCCAGGCACACTGCTGCCGCCTCCACCAGGCACCCCACCAGTACCTGAGTGGGTCTACCAGTGCACCAGGGTTGCCACGACAAACACCAGAGGCTGGGCAGCTCCAGCAACAGGCACTTATTCCCCACAGTTCTGGAGGCTGGAGGGCCAAGCTCAAGGGGACAGCAGGGTTGGAATCTCCCAAGGCCTCTTGCCTGGACACCTGCCCCTCCTTCCTACTGCGTCCTCACAGGGCTGTCCCTCTGTGCGCACATATCCCTGAGGTCACTCCAAATGCCCACAATTCTTCCTTATAAGGAGAGCAGTCAGCCTGCACCAAGGCTCATCCTGATGGCCCCATTTTACCTAAATCATCTCTGTAAAGATCCTATCTCCATATACGGTCATATGCTGAGATACAGAGGGTCAGAACTTTGAGATACGGATCTGGGGCTCAAGTGGGGGTGAATTTGGGGTTCGGGTGGGTGCAGAGGCAACTCCAGGAAGTCTGAGCCAAGGAAAACAGACACAGGAGACCGAGCAGTCACTGTTTCTCCCAGCGCTGAAACTGGTTCTCAATCACTTTGGGGTGCTCCTCCTGATCACCTCTCACTTAAACTCACAGAGATCTGTGGCGCACAGGCTTGTCAGGGGCGGGGGGAGGGAGCAGCCTTGAAGCCCGGGATGGTTTCAGAGGAGGCTGTGTGTTCACTGAGGGCTCCTTTCCCACTAGTATAAGGGGTCATTTTTAAGCACCACGTGCCTCCTCCAGTTCTCTGAAGTGAGTTACCGTGACAAGATGGAGAACCACCCCTGCAGACCAGGGCTCCACAAAAAAGGTCAGGTGGTAATGGTCCAACCACTGTGGCAAACAGCCCAGTGATTCTTCAGTAAGTTAAACATGGTCACCAGGTGACTGAGCAATTCCACTCCTAGGTATCTACCCAAAGAACCAAAAACAAGTGTTCAAACAAATCCTTATATGTGTTTGTTCACAGCAGCGCTGTTCACAACTGCCAAAAGGTGGAAACAACCCTAGTGTCCCGAATGAAGGAACAAAACGTGCTCCATTTATGCAGTGGAATATCATTCAGCCTTAAAAAGGAAGAAAGTGCTGGTACAACATGTTGCTGTTGTTGTAAGTTGCTAAAGCTGTGTCCAAGTCTCTATGACCCCATGGACTGTAGCCTGCCAGGCTCCCCTGTCCACGGAATTCTCCGGGCAAGAATACTGTAGTGGGCTGCCATTCCCTTCACCAGGGTATCTTCCCGACTCAGGGATCAATCCCAGGTCTCCTGCATTTCCAGCGAATTCTTTACCACTGAGCCACCAGGGAAACCCCAATACAACATGGATGACCTGCAGAAACACAATGCTGAGAGAAGGAAGCCCAGACATAAAAAGACATACAGTGCACAATTGCATTTATATGAAGTATTCAGAACAGGAAAACCTATAGAGACAGAAAGCAAATCAGTGGCTGCCAGGGGCTGGGCGGGGTGGGGGATGGGGCCGAGCAGGTACATGTTTCCTTCCGGGGTAATAAAAATGTTCTGGAATTAGTGGTGGCTGCACAGTGTTGTAAATACACTGAAAAGCCACTACACTGGACACACTGAAATGGTTATAAGGATGAATTTTACGTTACTTAAATGTCACTACAATTTAAAAACATTTTTTTTTACTGTAATCTGAAAAATGTAGAAGCTATCAGCCATACAAACATAAGCTGGCTCTTTCCGTGGGCCACAGTTTGCCAACCCCTGGTCTAAACTTTCTGGAACAATCCAGGCTTTTGTGTTCTCTGCCCGCAGTGGGTGGCCTTGACCAAGCACAGCAGAAACGCCTCCCGGACACTAAGGAACCACCGTACACGGCCGACTGGCCCATCTGAGTGTGCACACACAGCCCCACCTGGCACTGCAGAGCCTCCTCAAGGGGACACCCCAAGAGGGGACAGTGGCGCCCTCCGCCCCACCCCGCTGCTCGTCTCAGCAGGTGTTGCATCCGCCCAGAGACGCAGGCAACCTGCCGTCACCCAATGGCTCGCTTTCACGGACGCCTCGCCCCGGCCCACAATACCCTCCCCTCCACTGGCTCACACAGGCCCCTCTAGCCTCACAGATCTTCTCCTGCCCCCCAGTCCACGTCTGGCATGGCAGTTGGAGGGGCCTTTCCAGAACTCTCCCCCGGCTTCTCACGCTCCTGGCTCTCTCCCCTACAGCCTCTGCTTCAGGCCCTGACCCCACTGGCTTCCTGCTTTCTCAGCACACCCACTCGTTCCCACCTCAGGCCTTCACGCCCTGACCACAGAGCCGCCCCCAGAAGACACAGGCATGGCCCCTGCTCCCCCACCTCTGCCCACGGCACCTCCCCAGGCCTGGCTTCTGCTGTCTTTCACTCGTGGTGCTGAACTCCCATCCACACGTGTCTCGCCTGAGTCCCCACCTTAACCAGGCAAGGGCCAGAGAGCCAGGAATCTGAACAAACCCCAGTGCCTGGCACGGAGGAGGTGGCCTACCTCTACTCCATGGGTGACGAAGACATAAACCCGAGAGGTGGCCTCCCAGGGACGGAATGAACTTTGAAAGACCCTTCACGGAGGGAAGGCAGCCGGAGTCCCTTTGAATGTAAAGGGGACACTAAACTACAAACTGCACCTCAAGGTTTATCTCTAAGTTCATCTAAGCAGACGTGATCTTGGACAAGTACAAAGGAGCCGCCCCCGAGAGGCAGGGTCTATCCTGAACAGAACTGGCGGCCAAGATTTACCACTCTTCTAACGCCTGGGGTCTCGCCCCTCAGGTATCCCAGAACGGGGACAGTCATGAACAAGACAAGCCTGATCTGGAGGACCCCATCTGCCAGGGAAGGCAAACCAACAGGAAATACCACATTTTTTTTATTTCTTAGCTTTGCTATGCTATTTTGAAATACGTAAAACGGGATACTGTGAAAATGACTTGGGGATGGGAATTGGGGGGGGTGCTCTCTGACGAGGTGATGTTATAACTAAAGTCAACCAGAACCAAAAAGGTGTGGATTCCAAAGGCTGCAGCCAGGGAATGGTCTTCCTGCTGTGGTCCCTGGCCCCTGGGCACGCTGCCCACATCATGGCACATGTCTGTTTATCTTTCCCTTAGGCCAGTGTCTCAACCGGGGAGATTCTGTTCCAAACCCAGGGGACACCCGGCAATGTCAAGAGACATTTAAGGTTGTCCTACTTGGCTGGCGGTGGCAGGGGCGGGGGGGCGGTGCCTACCGGCATCAGTGGGGTGGAGTCCAGTGATGCTGTTCACCACCCCGCAGAGCATGGGACAGGCCCCACGGAGAACAATCTGGCCCCAGTGGCAAGGCTGAGAAACCTTGACAAAAGGCTCCCCACAGGTTAACACTTACTTCTCTTCCTCACCACTTAAGAACTATTGTCTCCTTGTCTATAGTCGACAGAATTCATGACGGGATGAAGAATGGAAAATATTCACATACGCACATGCACACGCATACACATACACACACACACAGAAGGTACTTCAAAATAGCGAAGCCAGAAAAACCAGTTAAAAAAAAAATCACCAGGGCACCAGTAAGCCGGGAGCCCTGGAAAGTTCTCAGGCTACCACTGACTTGAAAAGGGCTCTAGAAAGCTCAGAAGACATCTGGTTTGGGCCTGGCGGGAAGCAGGGCTGGAAACACAGCACGTCCACAAACATGATGTGAAACCAAGACGGCAGTGTGATGTGAAACCAAGACGGCAGTGGACGACCGGAGGGAATGAAGGGCATGGACCTCTCAGGCTGAAGGAGCAGCCCCACACACGGGGGCTCCTAGGCTGCAGCAAGACCAAAAAGCCCTGGTAGGCAGTTAATAAGGGAACGTTCTCATCAAACTCCTCCTCAGAATTAATAGACTTGCAGTCACGAAATCTACCCCGGGGGCAGACAAGACCGGTCTGTTCTCCTTATCTCTCCAACAGGTCTCAAAGTTACTTGGGGAGCAGCAGGAGCCCTGCAGCTATTTAACAGAAGGAGAGGCTCGTGTGAAGATCCGGCCTTGGGAGCAGTTACTCCCACAGGGCTAGAGAAAGGCAAATTCCGCATGTCACCGGTTCTTTCCTCAACACCCAGTGTTTACACAGTGCCTCGGATTCAGCAAAGTGCCCCTGCACACACAGCTGCAAAGAGCTCGCTTTTCTCCACTAGCCGGGACTGTTCTGAAGGTTAATCCCCGCTAAGGCTTTTATCATCTGGAGGCACAAGCGCTACCTCTGGATCCCGGGGCTTCATTTGCAAACATGAAATGGAAGCTTTTTTGGCCCCAGGCTTCCAAGTACCTTTTTAAAAGTGAGGCGCACTCCTCAGCTTTAATGAGATGACTTGCTGATGGTGCTGACGTGCTGACAAGCCTGCCTTGCATAGAGAAAAGGCAGAATGTGTGCGCTAGCCCCCCTCAGAGAGGGACCTGCCACTGCCAAGTCGCCTCGCACTGCTCTCTTTTCAAATCCTGACTCCCTAATTGATAGGAAACTGCAATCTCCTTCAACAGAGGAGAAACCTACAAAATGCTTCAGAGTAGATTTTTAGCTTCCCTGCAAAAACCCCTGGGGCAGAGATGGAGGAGGAGGTGGTTGAAAGAGCTGGTTCAGTCACACCAGGGCTTCTCAATGCTGTGATTCGGCTCCCAGGAGACATGTGGCTCTGTCTGGAAATCTGTTTTTGGCTGCCTCGACTGGGCGAGGGCCTACGGGTGGAGGCCAGGGATGCCGCTGAACACCCACAATGCCCTGGCCAGCAACACCACCATCAAAGTGTTATGCCCTAAATGGCAACAGGACCGAGGAGAGAAAAAAGACAGTGGCTACCTTACAAAAGTAAAGCTCAAACAGTCTTTTTTTCAGGGGGTCTGGTGAGCTCAAACAAGAAGGGACTGCAGAGACAGAAGAGGCTGCCATCTGTCACTTAAGAAAGAAGGGACCACAAGCCTGAGCTGAGGCCATGGTCCTGCCTGCAGGGGGTGAAGCACACCGATAATAAAGATGGCTGGTCACACACGCATCTCCACCGCTTTACTGTGTGGTGCCGGGGTGATCAGAGGGCTCATGGGCCTAGCTCGAGTACGGCCTGCCTAGCGCTCTGAGGAGGAGCCTCAAACCCAGACCTTGGCGGCTGCGACTGCCATTATCTTTTTAATCAGAGTACATTTGCTTTACAGTGTTAAGTTTCTGCTGTACAACCAAGCAAATCAGATACACACACACACACACACACACACACACACACACACACACACATCTCCTCCCTCTTAGACCTCCCTCCTACCCCAACCCCATCCCATCCCTCTCGGTCATCACAGAGCACTCAGCTGAGCTCCCCGTGCCATATACCATAGTTCCCAGTAGCTCTCTATTTTACACATGGTAGTGTATTTATGCCAAACCGAATCTCCCAAGTCACCCCACCTTCCCTCCCCCACTGTGTCCACATGTTCGTCTTCTATGTCTGCGTCTCTACTGCTGCCCTGGAACTAGGTTCGTCTGTCCTATTTTTCTAGATCCCACATGTTAATACAAGCGCTAATATATGATTCTGGTTTTTCTTTCTGACTTCCTTCACTCTGCACGACAGACTCTAGGTCCATCCGTGTCTCTGACTGTAACTGGACATAAAACTGTGTTTGGAGAATGCTTCCCTGACACATACAGACACACCCACTCTTGATTTAAATCTGCCAAACGGATCAATTTGGGATGCAGAGGCTGCTGGGGAAGGTGCTTCCATTTATTTTGATTTGTGCTAGAAGCATTTCAAGAAGATCGGCCCTTCACCTGCTTCCCTGCCAATGAAACACAGGAGGCACACTGCCTGGCCTGAGTACCCCAATGCCAGGGTGGGCGGTGCTAAGGCCCGATCACTCACACCACTGCATACCTGGTTCGACAGAGGCGACTGTATGTTTAACTTGCCATTCTTGGGAATGTCTATTCTGTAGCCGAGAGGAAGGAAAGCGTTGAATCCAACAATGAGGTCAGGGTGTTCATGGAAGAGCTGCGACACTCGTCGGATGACACCAGGAGTATCAATGCTGGAACACAGAAGACCAGGACTGGGCAGGAGCGTCTTAGGGGGCAAACTGGGAACCGAGCTAACTTCTGACACTCGTAACTGTCCCAGGACACAGGCTGCTCAACAGACAACGAAGCACCCCAAAACATGTTCTGTCTGACTGCAGACGGTGGTCCACCACCAAGCCAGCCAGGCCTGGACTCCCTGTATCTTCCCAGCAAGAACCCACAACAGACACACAGCACAGCTCCCAAAAAACTGCAAGCACGTGAGCTCTGAAAATGTCAGGAGAGCCAGCCGCACACCCTGAGCTCCAAGAAGTGACAGGAGGCCAAGTCCTCTAAATGGGGAGATAAATTCATTTCATACGAATTAGCGATCTGCTGTGACACAGGAGTTGTTCCCAGTAACTGACGGTAACGCATAAATGTCAAAGGCCCTGCAAGTATGGAAACTGCATAACAGATCAAGGAGAGAGGAGATAGGGCTCTCCCTCAGGGCTGCAGTCAGGGCCAAGGTCTTAGCATCGGGCTTGTGAGACAGGTGAGTCCTGTTGCTATTTTTTCCTCAGTGGGGCAAGCAGCACAGTGTGGACGTGATACTCATGAATCTAAGTCAGAAGGGATGGAGTCCTGGTCCCATCTCTGCTCCTAACGTGAATCTGGGTGAACCCGTGGCCCACTCTAAGTCTCAGCAAGCCCCCTGTCAAACAAGATAGGAGATCGGGAGGTCCCCGATATATCTCTAACCCCCCTGATTCTGTGCCTGTGAAAACAGCTAATGTGTTTTAAATGCCTTCTAAGTGCCAGGTTCCTTACTAAGCATTTTATGTGTGTTATTTCTCAAGTAGGCCTGGGATGAAGGCGAGGCAAGTAAGGCACTCACCTTGGGGATTAAGCTTCGAGGGAGAGAGAGTGCCAAAACATTCCTTAACCAGGATAAGTAACATCTTCATGTAGTGCTTGGGGTAGGGGGGGAATCTAAATTTTCAAAAACTCCCGGCGAACAAAATTTATCTTATAAAAAAACCCAACATTCTGAGTAAAGACAGGATCCCACCCTGTGCTTGCTTGACAGCCTCACTCGCCTCACCCCATCCCTGCCCTCCTTCCAGGAATCCCCACAATAGCTTCACAAGGAAGGTACCCTTCCCTCCCGTTTTTTGGAAGAAGGAACTGGGGCTCCGAGAAGTCACAACCTGCGCAAGGTCACCCTGTTGAGGGGCAGCGGGGTTTGGTGACTCCCACACCGCTCAGGCCCACTGCGGCCCAGGGCGTCCCCCTGGGACGTCCCCCTGGGCAGGGGCCCCGCAGGTACCTCTGGCTCTTGAACTCCTTCATGATTTCCAGGAAGCCATTGTAAGTGGCAGGATCGCTGCCGAAGCGGATCTTCACCTGGTCCAGGTAGGTGAGGGCGTCTTCCACCTGCGGGGAGAGGGAGGGTCCTGGTGGGCCGCGGTCGGCGCAGAAGGGGACGGGGCCGGGGGTCCCTGGCGGGAGGGGGACAGGCCGGGCTCCGAGGGGCGGAGGCAGGGAGTCGCTGGTCCAGGGCCCAGCGGAGCGGAGGCCGAGGCAGGGCCAGGGTCGGGCGGGGCCCTGGTAGGGGGCGCCAACCTCCGGGGACTGGAAGACGGGGTTCCCCAGGGAGGGCTGGGGCACCACTCACGTGCACCGGCAGTTTCTCGTGGCCCCCGGAGCCCGAGCGACCCCAGCGGGCGCCGCTCAGCCCCCGGCCCGCAGGGCCGACGCCGCCGCCGCCGCCAGCGTGCGCCATGTTGGAACTCGGAGCCGCGGCCCGCCCCGCCCCCCGCCAGAGGGTCGGCCACGCATGCGCTGGCTCCGCCCTGGGGGGGCGTGGCCTGGCGGTGGCTGGGACTGCAAAGTTCCTTGAAGAATTGGCTGTAGGACCTTACCCATAAAACTGAAATGCTAACGCTTAAAATACCACCGGCGGGCAAACCAAGGCCTGCCCTCTGCTTTTGTCTGGCCCCACAAGTAAACTGAGAATGCTTTTTACAATTTTAAAAGTTGGGAAAACTCCGATAGTGAGGATTATCCCGTGCCACGTGAAAATTCTATGAAATTCAAGTTTCGGTGTCTGTAAAATTAAGGTTTACTGGAACACTGGAATGCCCACTCGTTTACTGGGCACCTCTGGCTATTTTTGCGCTTCGACGGCGGGGTGAATAGCTTCTACAGATGCTAAGATCTACACAGCCTGATATATTTACTGAAATGGTGTTCTGGACCCCTGCGTTCTAGGGTTGATGTAACAACTGAGTTATGGACACACCGCACCCGAATACATGGCCCTGCAGTGAAGTTTTGCCAAAATGCTTTTTTAAAAATTTTTATTAATTTATTTTGTTGTACTCAGTTTCAGTTGCAGCATGTGGGATCTTAATTGTGGCATGCAAACTCTTAGCTGTGGCATGTGGGATCTAACTCACTGACCAGGGATTGAACCCATGGCCACTGTGTTGTGAGTGCAGAGTGTTAGCCTTTGAAACACCAGGGAAGTCCCTGGTAAATTGCTCTTGACTTAGTCCTGATCCTCCTCTCTTCACTTTTCTAGTCCTGTTCCCATCACTTCCCCACTGGACCAGTTTGGGAGCCTCTTAACCAGTTTTTCCAGTCCCAGTGCTATCAAGAACTGAGATCATTCCACAACTGCTTCCAAATCTCCAAGGTCTTCCTATTTCTTATGAGTTAAATCTGAACACCTACATGCAGCATTGAAGGCAATAAAAACCTACTCCTTATGAAACTTTTCTTACAGAGTTTTCCACGCAAGTAAGCTGCCTTCTGTCTGTGCAGAAATTCCTGTCAATGCCTGCTTAGCCTGGCTGCTCCCTGACCCCATGCATCAGCCAGAAGCCCTATTCTATCTCTTCATTACACAAAAGCACCCTATATATCCTGCAAAATACAACCCAAATATCCTCTCTCTCAAGAAACTACCCGACTTCTCCTCTGCCATCCCACAGTCTCTTGTACATTATCTTCATTTGGTATCTCTATTTGTGAAGAGGTGCAGGAAAGCTAAGAATATATTGTCAACAAGTGCATCATTTGTCAGGGGTCAGGAGTAAAATTGGGACTTCCCTGGTGGCTCAGACGGTAAAGAATCTGCCTACAAAGAAGGAGACCCGGGTTCGATCCCTGGGTGGGGAAGATCCCCTGGAGAAGGAAATGGCAACCCACTCCAGTACTCTTGCCTGGAAAATCCCATGGATGGAGGAGCCTGGTAGGTTACGGTCCATGGGGTCGCAAAGAGCTGGACACGACTGAGCAAATTCACTTTCTAGAAGTAGAATTGGACTTCCCAGGTAGCGCTAGTGGTAAAGAACCCGGCTGCCAACGCAGGAGACATAAGAGATGCCGAGTCGATCCCTGGGTAGGGAAGATCCCCTGGGGAAGGGCATGGCCACCCACTCCAGTATTCTTGCCTGCAGAATCCCATGGACAGGGCAGACTGGCAGGCTACAGTCCATGGGGTCACAAAGAGTCAGACACGACTGTAGGGACTTCCAGCAGCAGGAGTAGAATGGTGAACAAAACCAACAAAGCTTTTACCACACAGTGTCATCAGTCTTTCAGGAAGGATAAAAATCAATCACATACACAAATGTAAAGTTTCAACTGTGAGAGATACTTCAAAGGGAAGTCACAAGTATAATAGTCACTCTGTTCCAGTTACTCTGGCTGTGTTATAAACCACCTCCAGATTTACAGGTTTACAATGATAAGAACATTTATTTTGTTCTCCAACCTGCAATTTGGGCAGGCTTGGAAGGGACAGCTCATCCCTGGCCCCTCTGTGTCAGCTGGGTGGTTGGAAGGCTGAGGCTAGAATCCTATGAAGGTTTACTGACTCACATGTCTCTCAGTTGCTTCTGGCTGTAGGTTGAGGCCAGTGGCTGTTGTCAGAATGACCCACATGTGGCCTCCTCATGTAGCCTGAGCTTCCTCACAGTATGGCAGCTAGGTTCCAAGCCCAATCACACAGAGAGGAACAACTGAGTCAGGTGGAAGCCTTATACCCTTTTCTGATCTACCTTTGCAAGTTACAGAGAATCAAAAGTCCCTCCCAAATTCAAGTGGAGAGCCAGCAGACTCCAGAACCTGGGGAGTGGCCAGGTTCTGAAATAACGTGCATGCATGCCTATGTGCTCAGTCTTTGCAACCCCATGGACTGTAGCCCACCAGGCTCCTCTGTCCGTGGAATTCTCCAGGCAAGAATCCTGGAGTGAATTGTCATTTCCTTCTCCAGGGGATCTTCCTAACTCAGGAATAGAACCTGGATCTCCTGCATTGGCAGGGAGATTCTTTACCACTGAGCCACCTGGGAAGCCCCAGGAATAGAATGGGGAGATAGGAAATGTTGCCATGACCATTTTTGGAAAATACCTTCTGACACCAGATAGACTTAACCCAGTCAGGGGGTGAGAAAGGCCTTCCAGAGGTAGTGATATTCTAGTTGTGTTCTGAATGCTATGTAGGTGTCCACTGTGAAAATCAGTCCTGAGTGTTCATTGGAAGAACTGATGTTGACGCTGAAACTCCAATATTTTGGTCACCTGATGTGAAGAGCTGACTCATTTGAAAAGACCCTGATGTTGGGAAAGATTGAAGGCAGGAGGAGAAGGGGACGACAGAGGATGAGATGGTTGGATGGCATCATCGACTCATTGGAGATGAGTTTGAGTAAACTCCAGGAGTTGGTGATAGACAGAGGGGCCTAGCATGCTGCGGTTCATGGGGTCACAAAGAGTCGGACACAACTGAGTGACTGAACTGAACTGAACTGTGAAAAATCAGAAGGAATGGCTGTGCAAAGGCCCTGTGGTGGGAACAAGTGTGGCATATTTAAAGAACTTAAAAAAAAGCAACCAGTGTTCTTGGATTTCAGAGGAATGGAAGGGAGAGACAGAGAGAGAGAGCAGGATAAGAGTAGACAGAACAGAGAAGGCAGGCCACTCTTTCTCATGAGATGAATTAAGGCTTTTGGACTTGGCATTTAGCGCTGGTAGAAACTGCGTATGGGTTCTACAAAAGGAACTGTTTCAGCAGCTTGGAAGTTGGAAGCAAATGCTCTGACTATTCTGCAGGGAAGTGATTGGAGGGGAGCCAGAGAGGGTGCAGGGAGGCTGTTTCATCGTTTAGACAGGCAAAGGATGATGGTGGTTGAGATGAGAGTAGAAGTGTAGAGGTGGAGAGAAGGTGGTGAAAGGGAGTGATATTTAGAAGGTAAAGCAGAGAGGACGTGGCACAGGGTGGATGTGGGGGTGAGGAGAAAGGAAGTTTGAGGATTCATAGCTCCTAGCCCACAAAGGTATTCTGCTCAGTTTCATTGCGTTTCTGTCTGAACAGAAGCTGAGGCCGACTGAACCGCATTCTGAGGCCACCAGTCCTATCCACAACAGTACCTCCTGGGGGCAGTCCCTCCCCTGCGAGTCAATGGCACACGTTGGCTTCTGATAAGCCCCAGAGACCTTATACATTGCTCCCCCTCCCACAAGGATCACCTTAAATTTTCTATTCTTTTAGTAGGTCTCTTAGAGTCAGAGGAAGCCCTCACTCAATTGGAGAACAAGCAACCACAACTCAATGCCACCTTGGCATGTGTGTAAGTTCTGAAGGATGCATGAATATCTGCATGTGTGTGTGTGTGTCTGTGTGTGTGTTCAATATGTAGGCAGCAGTACATGTACATCTTTTCATTCTTATGTTTATAAAGCATACAAAGTTGCTAAGCTAATTTTTTTTCTTTACTATTCTCATCTACACAGATTAAATTGAAAACCTTATAGATAAACAACAAGGGCCTACTGTATAGCCCCTACTGTATTTCCCTACAGGGAAATATATTCAATATATTATATGAACCTATAATGGAAAAGAATCTAAAAAAGAATATATATGTGTATATATACACATATATGTGTGAATCAATTTGCTGTATACTCCTGAAACTAGTGCAACATTTAAAATTCACTGTACATCAATATAAAAAGTTAAAATGGTTTTATATGAAAATAAAAAGTTTTTTAAAAATTAGAAAAAATGGAACACCTTAGAGGTGACAGTTTTGGTAGACAGCTTAAATAAATTTGGAACACAAATTTCCTTATCATTTGTCTAATTTAATGACATTAAAGTAACGTTCTTAGGTAGATCTTTTGTTGGACAGTATCTTGGCAAAATTAAGAAGATAAAAAATCCTGTATATTCTGAACTAGCTAAGTCTTCCCAGGTTGCAAACACTAGGATCAAACTTGCTGAAGCTGGGAATCGCAGTCTGCAGCAGAACTTTCCAAGGCTGCCAGAGATTCCCGTCCCCTGGTGTATGCACCCTGCCTTGTCTTCCTTCCTGGAGTATAGGTGGTCCCGGGAACATCATGGATGTCACACCTACAGTATGTCTCTGTCTACACGGTGAAGGGAAAGGAATTCCCTTAAGTGCTTAAGATTGCTTAAGATTCCAAGCGAAGTTGATTTTGAATTCATCAGAAAGCAGATTATGTAGTAGACCTGGCCTAATCAAGGGTACCCTTTATTTTTTAATTTAAAAAAAATTTAAAGATTTTAAAAAAAATCTTAAAAGAGCATCTCTTTACCAGAAATTTTGACTGTTTTTCATTCAATGGATGCTTGGGCTGATGTTTCCTGTTTATAACTGTATCACTGAAGGGAAAGCTACTGGAAAGAAGACTTGGTTTATCTCTTTAGTATAATATGAAAGACAGAATAGTATTTATTTTCTTGTTTTATTGAAATATACT